CAGAGTTACTGGGTTATTGCACAGGAATTGTTCCTGACACTGTTCATCAGAGTCAGGTGTTCATCAGAGTGATGTCTTGTGGTTAAAACACTTCCTGAATCTGTTGGTTTTGGCATACAGTGCTCTGTAGCGCCTACCAGAGGGGAGGAACTGGAACAGATTGTGTTCGGGGAGAGATGGATCTGCAGTGATGTTTCCTGCCCGTTTTCCTGACTCTGGAAATGTATAAGTCCTGAATGGAGGGCAGGTTGGCACCGATGATCTTTTCTGCATTCCTGACTGTCCGTTGTAGTCTGCTCCTGTCCTTTTCGGCTGCAGATCCAAACCAGACAGTGATGGACGTGCAGATGACAAACTGGATGATGGCTGTGTAAAAGTGGATCAGCAGCTCCTTAGGCAGGTGGAGCTTCCTGAGCTGGCGCAGGAAGTACATCCTCTGCTGAGCCTTCTTGATGGTGTCAGTGTTGGGCTCCAACTTTAGGTCCTGGGATATAGTGGATCCCAGAAACCTGAGGGCACAGCAGACACAGGGCTGTTGAGTATGGTGAAGGGGGGCAGAGTGGGGGGGCTCCTCCTGAAGTCCACAATCATCTCCACAGTTTTGAGCGTGTTAAGCTCCAGGTTGTTCTGACCGCACCAGAGAGTCAGCTGATCAACCTCCCGTCTGTAGGCCGACTCGTCACCGTCCCGGATGAGGCCGATGACCGTTGTGTCGTCAGCAAACTTCAGGAGTTTGACAGATGGGTCTCCTGAGGTGCAGTCGTTGGTGTAGAGGTAGAAGAGCAGTGGGGAGAGCACACACCCCTAGGGGGCACCAGTGCTGATAGTCCGGGTGCTGGATGTGATGTTCTCCAGTCTCACCTGCTGACTCCTGTCAGTCAGGACATCTGTGATCCACTGACAGGTGGAGGCTGGCACAGTGAGCTGGGTGAGTTTGGTGATGAGGATGTCCGGGGATGATGGTGTTGAACGCTGAGCTGAAGTCCTTGAACAGGATCCTTGCATATGTCCAGCAAAGAGCCTGTAATGTCCTTCAGGCGGGCCAAGTCACCAGTCTTTCAAAGGACTTCATGACTACAGATGTCAGGGTGACAGGTCTGTAGTCATTTCGGGGCCAGGAGCCTTCCTGATCTTCTGTCTTTGAAAGAGGTGGCTCACGTCCTCTTCACAGATCTTGAGTGCAGATGAGGGGTCAGAGAGGGGGGTGGTGGCAGCGTATCAGAGGGGGAAGGTGACTGTTTGAAGATGGTGTTGGAGCGGGGGAGAGGTGTGACTGTGGGCTTTTCAAACCTACAATAAATGCCATTCAGCTTGTCAGCCAGTTGTTGAGTACCAGCAGTGTTGGGGGATGGTCTCCTGTAGTTGGTGAGTGTCCGCAGGCCTCTCCACACTGACGGAGGGTCGCTGGCTGTGAAGCTGTTTCTTACCTTTTCAGCGTAGCATCTCTTTGCTGCTTTGACTTCTTTAGTCAGTGTGTTCCTGGCCTGAGAGAGTGATAATAATGATAATGAGAAAACTATGTTAAAATACGAGTTATGGAATCACAGACGGATATACTTTGGTTTCTTATTTTATAGTTAATGATACTAATTGTCTAATGTCCATAGACTAAAACCAGTTCAGTTAACACTTTCAGTTCAATAAAAATCCTATTTTATTGTATAATGTATCTGTATGTGTTAGGCAACTGTTTTTCAAATACACTACATGACGTTTTCCTTAAAAAAACAGCTTTTGTAGGAGTGCACTGATTGCAAAGAACAAAACATATACTGGGAACATGCCTCCTCAAGATTACAGACATCACGGAGCATAAATATTATTCTTTCATAGTAGACTATATAGTGTACAGGGTTGTGTAATTATTTATTAACCATACTATTTTATAAAAATGGTTTCAAAACATAGATGCCAGTAAAACTACAATACTCTCTCTTGTTACTATGTTTCTAACATGTCAACAAACAGCATGGCTCCACTGAGAGAGAGTGTTAGAGAGAGAGAGTAGTGCCTTGACACAAGTTACAGTACCGCTGTCACAAACCTAAATTAAGAATGCAATATTTATGCCGACACAACCAAGCTCAGAACAAATTGGCCTACAGGGCAATAAGCAAACAGCAGTGAGCCCAACACCACTGAAGTCAACAACAACAACAAGGGATCCAGACCCTGTCTATAGCCGCTTTCCACAGAGATCCTGCAAGCAAAACGGAAAGAAAGTCTGCCAATATATTTCCCCTTCCCGGCTCCGTACCTTGCATACGGGGCAGCAAGCCGGCATATTGGCATAATAATCTTGGATAATAAAGCAGCATGAAAGCAGCTAAATGACAACAACATCATGACAACAACATCATGACAACAACCGCAAACCACAGTCAGCGATGGTGCTAACCTGTTGCTATCTGCATTCTTGTATAGCTCTTACACACAGTACAGTACACAAAACTTTATAACAATGTGTCAAATGTATTATAAACAAGCCAGGCTACTGACTGTCTGTATATTAATTTAATTGCACTTATCTGTCTTCAGCAGCTTGTCTAAGTTACCTCCAGAGAAAAACACACACTGGAAGCTGCAGGCTGACCCTTAACTCCATTCTGCCTGTTAGGCCCACCCCTTAACCAATCACAATTTTAGAAACACGATAGGCATCTACATAAACGAATCGGAGGCCTCTCTTAAAATAAGCGTCACAGTCCATCACAACTCAGGGTCAGAGGTTACCCTCTTAAAGTGACAGAGCCTAATATGACAACACTTATATGCTGCTAAGCACCTTTTAACAAAAACCCAGGAGTTACATAATACCTACAGTATAGCATTTTATGCATATGCCCCTCGCCAGGGGGGGCCAGTAATTTTATTGGGGTGGCCGTGGCCTCCCTTGTCCCTCTTTGGCAGCGCCACTGAGTCCTCCTCCCCTTGTTTTTCCGTACAGAAGAGATTAAATCCCGGTAGGTGAAGTGTGCTGTCTGGGATGTGCTCAGCGAGCCAGGACTCTGTAAAACAGAGGGCGGCAGATCTGCAGAAGTCCGTGTTAGTTCTGTTGAGGAGCAGCAGTTCGTCCATTGTGTCCTATTTGTCCAGTGTAGTGATACATTTGGTATTGATTTGAAGCATAGACTGTGTAAATGAAGTGGACATAGCCACTATGATGGTTTGTGTAAAGCTTTGAGTTCGGCATTTCTGCCGTCGCCGTCTTGTTTTTTTCAGAAGTAACCAAGGGTCAAAGTTCTTAGACAAAAACAAAGACAGCACTCAAAAACATGTTCTCTGATTGACAGATCATCTTGGTACCAACTTGTCAACCAGAAGGTAGCCAGACCCTAAAGCATCCCCTGCTTTATTGTCTTTCCTCTAAATGGGACCATAATTTTCAAAATGAACATTATGCTGTAACACTTCCTCATTAGGGAAGGGCTTACTGAAGTTGGGTAATTTTGTCCAAAGAATAAGACTTCTTTTTGCAACCAGTGGAGCGCCCCTGCTGGCCATTACAAGAATGCAGGTTTAAGGCACTTCCGCATTGGCTTCACTATTCAGACCCGGAGGATGCTTGTCCCGCACCAACACCTGGCCAAACCAGACGCTGTTGGATCCGGAGTGTCAGTCAAATGACTTAATTAAAACCAACTGAAACGGAAATAGCTCATGGGATACATTTCTCTGCAGCAGCTCTGCATAATATGACATTCCCCTTTAAGTTTATGAACGCTTCAGAATCAAGTGGTGTTTCCTACACATATTTTACGTTGGGTTGCTTTTATCTTAACGTCATCCAAAGAGTTGCCCGCAGAAATGTTGCAGAATTTAACTAATCATATCAAGGAAACGCTTTTCTAATTTAGTCTAATATGTTTTGATCACTGAATGAAGTTGATCACTCTGTTCTCAAATGTTCATGAAGACCAGATCATCCGTCGTCGGTGAACCCGACATTAAAATATCACCAATGCATCACCATAGTTAGCCCTGAAAGTCATTAAAATGTCCGACAGTTTTCGATTTTGCTGTGCGCGCTCCCGCGAGTCACGTGCTTCTCGGCAGGTAGGCTGAGTTCACCATAACACCTACAGGGGTTTGGGAGGGCAAACGACATGACAACGTAGTCATGCTTTATCGATTACATGATCTTTATTACTACCTGATAAATTATTCTTGATCTATTTTCTATGTTCACATCACCCACAGAACATAGTTGAATGTGTTACTGTAATTTCACTTGTGTGCAGTGTGTCAAGCAAACAGGAACTGTTCTCTTCAGAGGATGTGCTCTTGAATTTCCGTTCACTTGTGGGTAGGGTTGAAGAGACCTGTGGTAGACTTGCTCTGCCCTCCTCCCACGCAGTCATGGTACTCAGGCAGACACACCCAGAGGGCCGTGTTAAAAATAAAATAGAGTTTTAGCTTCCTTTGGCTGTTCATCCAAGCAGGGCAGCTAAGCAAGGTGACTGGCTTGATTTTGGACAGGGGTGATGTGTCTCATGAAATGATTGTTCCTAATTGCTCAGCGGTCTCTGATTAGCTTTGCCTTTTGGAAGTGAATGAGGTTTTGCAGTTGTACATGTGTCCAAAGACCCAGCATATTCCAGGGTGTGGTCTGTGCTTTAGCAAAGATCTTGTATTTATTTTCCTGGTTACAAGGAAGTATCTGGTCTTTCCACAAAGAACAAGTCTGTATGATGTAGCCCAAGGAGGAACAAAATGCCTCACTGACCACAGCAACAGTGGCATATTTGCATTGGAGACACTGATTTGTAATGAGCGAGGACTCTGTGGGTCTCCTCGTCTGCTCCCAGCCTCCACCTCAGTGACTCACTTATTCTTGTACAGTCATTCAAAGAAAATAGAGCTGCTGAGTTATAATCGTGGCCGGATACGCCATCCGAATTTTGAAAAACCTGCTGGTTTTGAGGTCAAATAATAGTAGATGACTTTGGAATTTGAAAACTACTTGAGTACCAATGTATCAATTCAAATGGACCAGTTGAAACTTTTAAATTATTTTTTTTTATTTCACTTACATGAAATTACACATTTCCCCCCAAATAACAGTTATGCTTGGGTGTTCTGTATGAAAACTCCAACGACATGAACAAAGCTAGCCCGCCCGACAACAACCTTCCTTACATCTCCACAAACTACTTCTTACCAACATGCAGTTTAGGCAAGTATTGAAAGAAAAAAGGGAGAATAAAAGACAAAAGAAATAAAAATCTTAATTTCAAAAAGCAGTAACTAGATAAGCACGTGGGATTTATTTTATTTCATTTTTTTACTGCTGTGCTCATAAAAACAACAAGCTTGTGTGCTCTTTTGTTCTTCAAAGTTTTCTATACCTCGTAATTGATACATAGAAATACAAAAGCAGGTCACCTGAAAACAAAACAAAATAATAAAGAGTAGAAAGTTGAGCAACTGACAGTAAATGGAATGCAACCTTTGTTTCAACAAAACCCTTCTGTCTCCAGCACACCCCCATTACACCTCCACCGTCTTTACCTCCGCTGTCATTCCTCTTGCCAAGTAAAGCCTAACAGCTGCTGTCTCCTAAGGTGTGAGGAGACAGCTCCCGATTTTGTGAAACCACAGATGTGTCGTCAGTCAGGAACAGGGCCGTTAATATCAACAGGATACACATACAGTATACATAACTGTTTTCTGACTCTAAAAACTCAACCTGCTTCATGTTTCATGAGTTGAGAACTTGCCCTCTTACCCACCACCTTAATAATGCAACACCCCTATTGCTCCCACACAAAAAAAAAGGTCAGCAGACAAGCAACCAACCCCAAACACACTATCCTTCCACATGGACCCTCCCGCCACGCAATTTAAAACTTACCCTCCCTCCCCATCCCCTTTCCCCACAGTTACTACAAAAGAAGGGATTGTAAACCGATAGGTGTGGGATGAGTGGTGAGAGAACTAAATAGAAAAAAGATGGAGAGAGTTGGACGACAATGATGATAATGAGGTGGACTCAGTGTTGATGATCATGATGAAGATGAGCCGGGACGATGGCAGGTAGACAGGGATGACTATGGGGGTCTGGCTCAATCTCTGGGCTCCTCCGTTTCCTCTCCCTCAACCTGGTTGTCAGAGGTCCACAGCTGAGGAAAGACAGGAGGACAAGCAGAAGAAAGAAGTAGCGAGAGAGGGAGGAGAACAAGAAGGTCAAAGAGGTGGGGGGAAGAAAAGACAGGGCAACATCCATTAATGTCTTAAAATACTCTTGATTTTTAATTTACTGGAGAGTTAGGAGTCTCCACAGTGACCAGAAAAACAATCAAATACTGATGGGTGATGTACTTTGTGTAGATACTGTACGGAGTTCATAGTAAGGCTGCACAATATGTCGTTTAAGCATGGACATCATTATGTGCGCATATGCAATAGTCACACTGCAGGACGTGTAAGGCAAATTAACCCAAACACTCCAACTTTTTGCGGCTCACTGATCATTTGGATCAGTTATCAGTGGATAAAACTGGTTTTCTATTGCTACTTACATATATACTACGTATGCGATTTGCATGGCTCCAAAAATGTTACCAAACCAAAATCCTTTATTTTTCTGGTCACAGAGTGTCTTGTGTTTAAAAGGCACACTGTTGATAGAAAATATTTATAGAACACTGAAAACAATCAACTCATATGAATGTTGTTTTAAGAAAATTAATTTATCTTTAAAGATAAAGCAAAAATGACTGATTTCTGCTCCTCAGATGTGACTATTTGACCCTTTTGTGATGGTAAATTGAATCTCTTTGGGTTTTGGACTGAAAATAAGACATCCCAATGGGCTCTGAGAAGCTGCAATTTTACAGACCAAACAATAAATAAAGAGAGAAAATAATTGGTAATCGTTAAAGAAGTGTCAATAATCTACAATATTGTTTTGTGCACAAAATTTGTTCTGGTCATTTGAGTCAGTACATTTTTAAGAAATTGAAAGATAGGAAAACTTACTGTCAAGTTGTCTCTCAGTAGCTGCATGATTAGTGTACTGTCTTTGTACGAATCTTCACTCAGTGTGTCGAGCTCTGCGATGGCGTCATCGAAAGCCTATTGGATTCAACACACATTTTAATTGCTGGAAAAATGACGGGGGTCTAAAACAAGCTGTTATGTCTTGGTAGAATGTGTACACAGGTTTTATTGCTGTCTCACTGTGTGTGCTGTGCAATGAATCTGACAAGCCATGTTAATAAATTTGCATTACATTAAGCAGTTAAATGTATAAAAAGTTATGTGGTGTTATGAACTTACGCCTTTGGCCAGCTGGCAGGCTTGTTCAGGTGAGTTGAGGATCTCATAGTAGAAAACTGAGAAATTCAGGGCAAGACCGAGACGGATTGGGTGCGTGGGCTGCATTTCTTCTTTGCTGATATCAAAGGCATTTTGGTAGGCGCCCTTTGAGTCTATAATGATGGCTGAGGGAGGGGAAAAACAGCATGAGAGGTGAGAACTAGCAAGTGACAGTGGAAGAAATAGAGACAGACTGTAGAAAATAAAACTCACTATACAATACACTCAGTTGGCAGTTCATTACATACACCTAGCAAAAAACTATATAATACACTTATACAACAGCCCTGCGATAAATCCTGCCCTAATGAAGGTTGTGTTCAGTTTTTGTTGAACGTTTTTGAGGGGTGTTTGTCATTTTGGAGCCCAGTTTATGGTGCTGTTGAATTAATTTGCAACATACTCAGGCGTTTCTGATATTTTGTACACCCCATTTATAATAAGCAAGGAGATTTCACAACATAATTTATAAAAACTTCGTCAGAACACAATGTTGAAAAAGTTGTACACACTTTCTTACAGTGGCAACCTTTGGTGGTGGGGCGAGAAGTTGGCCTCCAAAGTGAAGGGGAATTATAATGGCGATGCAGGAGGTCATTTCCTAATGCCTACTCAGGGATTATGCGATCACACCACTTCAGAAATAGCTGACTTGACTGCTACTGCTTTGAGTTTTGAATCGCCTTTATGTGACTGAAAGGAGACACTCTGGACCTGCAGTTGAATAGCCTTTCAGTTTTTACTTTTCTATGGTTAAGATATTCGTGCCTAATTACATGGCCTGGAAGGACACATGATTGATAAGTTCAGTCATGTATAAATATGAGGCTGTTGTTTCAGTAATGTTCCCAAAATTGGAACTCCAGCACACTCCCTATATTTCTGAATGCATAAATGAATGAAATGCAACCTCTTCAAATTCAACAGACATGCTCCCATTGTGTGTTCTGGCACTGTATCAAGGTCTTAGGGGGAAGCTGAAACGCAGAGGTCAGCCTTTCCAAACCCCAAGTCAAACATCATGTGGCAGTCCTTTTATGAATGATTGTGGAAAGAAATAGAGGACTGAAACCAGCCAGCAAGGTCACAGACTGCCTGTGAGATGTGATTCCCCTCTGATTGTTTTCACTGGAATAATATTTAGAAGCATAAAGATCCAATAATTCACTAGAAAAAAAAGTAAAACACAATTGTGTGGTTGCAAAAAAAAACAAACATACAAAAAAAATCTTCTCTTTCCAGACCCGTTAAATGAAAAAAAACAAACAAGAAAATTGAAGCTGCAAATGACAGGGACTAGGAAATAAGTCTACAGAGTTTAGTAGCTTTAGACAGAGAAGACCAGTGCATAATAATGGTTCAGTCTAACATCTATAGACACTGACTCTTAACAGCCACTAGGGGGCAAATCAGTTAAGAGAATGAGAATGAAAATGAAACTGAGGGAGATGATCCCAGGACACATGAGGTGAGCTGTAGCCAAAAACATGTCCGTCTGCTTGTCTAAAAAAGGACCCAAATTAAATGACCCCAAAAAGAACATTTCTACGGATGTAAGCCGTTGACTGTAGACCAGAGACTAGCTTAAAATTGACTGAGGCCCATTAAGGCCCGACAGTTTTTTTTTTTAAATTAGATGTAGATCAGGTTAAATTTACAAAAAGAAAGACCTCTGCTTTAAGTGTTTAACTTGCTACAAGCATCTACTGCTTACAAATTGATATTCTAGTTGTTGTAACAATCAACGACGACAGGAAGGGTTTGAATTATTATATTAGTACCATCATCCTACCTTTCTTGCTGCCAAAGGAGCATACTGTGATACTATTGTAATCAGCATTGATGAGCCAATGTCATAAAGCTTATCCCAATACTGAAGTGTTCATTTAATAGGATCTTGTCTAATACGTCTTATTTGGCTAGGCTATGAGTTGTATATATCCGTTAATACAGTCCAGTTTTCCAGCCAGTAAAACATCCTCGCACATACATAATGAAAATGCAATAACCCACCCCCACACACAGATGGTATAAAAGGGACTTAACATAGAGCTTACATTTCTTCTCATCTCCTGTGGCCACCTCAGCCAAGTAGCGGTAGTAATCTCCTTTCATTTTCAAATAGAAGACTTTGCTCTCTGCTGCAGTGGCTTTGGGAATGAGATAAGTGTCCAGGAGACCCTGTGGCAGATAAAAAAATAAGAAGGACAGACTGTTAGAAAGAATATAATGTAATTCTAATATATTCAAACCATCATCTAAGTATAATATATGTAGCCTGCTTTATATTTGGGGCTGGCAGACCTTGAAATGAGCACAAAACAGCAGAGCTGATTTGCATCCTTCAAATGGGAATAAATGTATACACAACTCATTGATGAAGAAGGCAGTTTTTATGCCTATTACTACAAGGCTCATTTGCTTATTTATCACTTATCCACTGACCCCACTGTGCTTGTTATTTCAGCCCATTTCAATAAATAAAGCCAATATTTCACAGCATAATTTCTCACCAGACCTAAATAAGGGTGAGACAAGCTGGCTACCTCCAATAGCCTCAAGGCTTGAGCCTCAGATTTTGCCTCAGAGACCACTGAAGGGGGTCGATCTGCGTGGATGGTGGATAACATGAAAGCATGGGGCGTGGGGGAGAAAGGGACAGGCTGGACAGAGGAGTGGGGAGCAAAGATGGTGGAGAGTGGAAAAGGGTGGTGTAGGAAGAGAGAGAGAGGCAGGATGAGAGTATGGATGAAAGATGGTGGGGGTGGAGAAAGAGGGGACAGAGCCAGTCTGCTGAACTCCTGATGAGCTTTTGCTGAAGAAGTAGGTCACTCACAGAGCACAGCTTGGCTCTTTATAACACAATCATGCACCACTAGCTGAAAAGTGTTGTTAATCTTCTATGTTAAAGCACTATGGGACAAAGAGGGTTAAACATTGCCTTTACAGAAACATGAATTAACACTTTTTTAAAGTGCAGATCTCTTTGTGGCTTGCTTCACTGTGTATTTTTAAGTAGCCTCCATGTGGACACTTACAACAGCCATGACAAACAAACGGTGCGATATAGAGTTGGAAGAAAACAGAATTCCCCATGGCATTAGTGAAATGTTGTTAAGCCTCCCGATTTTGGACCCGACTACTGCTCTCTACATAGGAATAGTTATATAACTGGCTGAGCCTGGGTCCCTGGGTAGAAGGTAAATATTGTAATTTAGGTTACAAGTAGAAAAATGCATAGATTGGGTCTGAAAAAGAACGTAATGTAAGGTAACACCGCATGACTCCAACGTACGATATTAATACTTCAAACAGACTGGTATTACAAATGGATTTAGAGACATGGATTACTACATGCTCTGTAAGATCCTGCTTATTACACAGTGCATTTGTACATTATACCAAGTATAATGGAATAAACAGGGCTGATGTAAGAGCCCGTATTTGCAGAATGATCTTAGATTGATGTGAGGGCTCAGGGAAGCCCTCTGGGATCTGAATGTAGAACTGGGCCACTGGCAAGGGCACAGCTAAAATCAAACTACAACCATGGCTGGAGCTTTCACAGTAAATTTAACTTCCTATTTTATCGTTTCTTCCTCTATATGATTGTTGCATCAAAACAGAGAGGGTAACGCAGGTAAGCAAAGACGTAAAAGCCTATGCGCTCTGAGGAAGAGGCAACATAACCACATTCCCAAAAGAAAGGCCTCTGTGTAGATTCCTGTCCAATACAACAGAACAGTGTCACTTTGTTTCTACAGCCTAATTTATGTCATTCATAGTGAGCTTCAGGTGTGTCCTGGTGGCTTTTTGCAGGTGAAAAAACTCTAGCTATTGTGACTCTTCATTGTGTTTAACCATTTGTTCAATTGACTGGGGAAATTATACAATAATTTAATTTTTATTACGGCAATATTTATGTGTGACCATATCGCCGAAAGAATTCTTAGTGCCATGTAGCTTTTTAAGGAAGAAAATCCAAATGACTTGTCAGAGCATAAAACCAGTGACCTGCTGATCTTTACAAATCAAAACTAGACTGTCTAACCACGGAATAGCCATTGATGGCGACTTTTTTTAAAAATTTTTTTAAATTGAATCATGATCAAAAGTCAAATCATGTCCTGGATTTGGAGAGTGGTGTTAGCATTAGCACTTAGTTAGCATTAGATTACACAACACGTTCAGTAAGTAATAAAACACATTACTTAAAAACTGACCTTAAAAACGCAGAAATAATGCATACAGAGTTTGTTCATCTACTTTGATTGGCTCGTCACATACCTAAAGTCGTCACATTGTGTGGACACTGTTTGCACAAGGACTGCAGCAAGCAACACACATACACAAAAAAAAAAAAATACATAAAAAAGGTGTTAAATACATACAACCTATGCAACCACACATACCACTTTCACACCAAAGCGAACACCCAACGAAAACCAATGCTATTGGTTTAAACAACCAACAGACACGCCCACTCCACAAAGCAATCTGTCAGGTTTGCTAAGGTGAGAAAGTAGGCATGGTCTCTTTTTTGTCTTCACTGAACTGTGTGTGCAATATTATGAATGCCATGAAGAGACTGTCCAAAGGTGTGCGCTCTTATCCCCATTTGATTCATCGTGTTTGTCCCTCTCTATGACTGCAGGCGTTTCACTCTGCCTGTGTGGCCATTCAGAACAGAAATAATCATGTCTTTAGATGTGGTCGATAACACCTTGTACGAACTAGTTTGCTTCAAGTATACCTCAGCCTTATCCCTGTCCTACACCCTCCCCCTCTGCCCTCTTTACCGTCATCCCTCTCTATTTCAGTCCCCATATGGCTGTTCGGCCGAAGTGGAGGTCAGCGAACCAGAACGCTGGTGGCTCAGTTGCTGTCATTATAGGATTAGGACCTGGTGAGTCACCAGGCAGATAACGCACAGGCTGAGAAGAGAACGGAGTAGCACAGGTCCTCCAGATGATTGCAGTACTTCAGATATGTACACAAGAAGCTTGTTAGGATATCGTCAGTGACAAAAACTAGTGATCAAACTAATAGAACTACAAATCGGTGGAGAAACTGGCACTATTCTCTGAGCAAGAGATGAGTCTATCCCACTAGATCCAACATTGTGGAGCCTGGTCTGCTCCCCCCCACCCCCAACAGGAGATGTCTCTTATTTGTCAAAACTCTGATGAGACACTCTCCTCTTAACAGGTAAACAGTGCTAGCAGTTTGATGACAGCATGAAAGTCTGATTAAGGCCCCATCTACACTACTTTGTTTTAGTTTAAAAACGTAGAGTTAAAACGAATATGATCTCCGTCCAAACCAGCATTTTAGCTGCGTATCAGAGTTGATCTCAGTCTATACGACTGAAAACGCACATCTAGTGGCCGTTTACGTACACTGGGCATGCGTGTGCAGGTGTGAACATGAAGCAGATTGTCTTCATTTCCGTCGTTTTAGTCTGGACGGGAGGTGCAAACGGTCTCCGTTTTAAAACGAAAACACAGTAGTGTGTATAAGCCCCTAGGATATGAAAAAAATGTATTAGTTATACAGCATTGTTCAATGTTGGCTGCATCACAAAAAAAGTTACATGCTTCATTCTGTGGAAAGAAACCTTAACAGTGCATGGACTATAGAGACTCACCAGCCTCTGATAGGATAATTAGTGCTTTCAACCTGTAGCTACAACCTGAACATGAGATGAGAAGCACAAGATATGAAGTGTTCATTAATATCACAGCAAACTGCTTGCACCTAACATTTCGCAAACTACTGACACCCCGGATTCAAAACTGTTATTCAACTGTTACTCAACATATTGATTTGATATGCATAAAAAGTTTAACTGAAAGACTTGTGAATTTCATGTTGCACAATCAGATAGATAATTTCTCTGGAAAAGAGATGCCACTCCGTTGAAATACAAAAACACATTTCACTCACAGGCAAAACTAATGTTACAGAGTGAGTGATGTTTCTTTTCCCTCACAAACATCTTTGGCAGAGTACAGACACCGGCTGGGAGGAAGCACATTAACCACACAGACAGAAAAGTTTCAGAATAGCAATTAAGGAACTAACGTTAATTAGCCACAGCTGATATAATCTACCACCACTGATGGTGTCATTTTAAACGGCAAAAGTAATGATTAGTGCTGGCTACAAATGAGAAGCCTGCTGATGTTACCTTAATGTTTACTAGATCTCAAAATAGCAACAGATAAAACGTTCAATAAGAGATTTGTTAGCGTCGCACCTTCAGAAATTTAGGTATGCTTCTGACGTGAACCGGATCCAAAACAAAACAGGAAATGGACTGTGCACTCTGGGGCCATTTTATTTACACACAATTTCCTGAGTTGTGTGAGCTCATGCTCTGTGTTTTCTTACATCTGTCATACTGCAGCCTGCACCGCTGATCAGAAAAGGAAGTTAGCTCCATTTCAAATGAACTCTCTCATTGCACCTTTCTCATGAGTAGAAAATCCTGATTTTGCATACTCTGCCACTTAAAACATTTTTTTCATTACAGGAGCAGGCGTGAAGAAGCGCGTCGTGATAAGCTGTAGGGCATCACTGATAACTAAATCTGGAACATATTGGCTCGACTGCTGTAAGACACCAAGGTATGAGACTGAAGCAGTCAAGGTGCGGCACTTCTCTACAAGGTCTACTGCATCTTGCTGACAGAAATGACACACCCATCAACATGAGCTGTTGAAGTAAGGTATGACTGTGGAGTTGAGACTCACTCCTCAGTCATCCAGTATTTCTTCACATAATCTTAATGTCAAAAGGAGATGATCGGTCTGAGTTATTTGCCCGAGATAAAATTCCTATACTTTTTGTCAAGAGGCCTTGCTTTTGCCTCTCTGCCATCTTTAACCCTTCTTTAGCCCAATGTCTAGTAACCACACTTGGCCGAAGATTATTTAATTCAGTCTGTGCTTAAAGTAAAATGTTAATCTGACACTCCACGAAATTAGATGATACTTTTTACCATTTTACTTAGCCATCCCAAGTGAAACACTACAGCAGTGTAAGGTTAAATCCACAGAAAAAGACTGAAGGTATGTCTTTTCACCTTTTAAGAGCTCTGAACAAACACTTTTCAACCCTGAACAGTCCTGTCATGTCTTCATAAAGCAGTAAAGAACATTTACGTTATTGACACCTATGTCTACATAACAAAAAGTAATTACTTTAACAGAAAGATAAAGCCAACAATGTTGTCTAATGAAATGTTATCAATCTCACCAGCACGTCCTGGCAGATCTCTTTCAGCTCTCTCTCAATCTTTTCCCGGTACTCTTTAGCCATGGTCTGCTTCCTCTCGCTGCTCTCAGCCTTCTGCTCAATGCTGGACACCACACGCCATGAGGAGCGACGGGCACCCACCACATTCTTGTAGGCCACTGACAGCAGGTTACGCTCCTCGTTGGACAGCTGCTCGCTATCCTCCGTCACAGCCTTCATTGCAGCAGCCATGTCATCATAGCGCTCAGCCTGCTCGGCCAGCTTGGCCTTTTGCACCAGTTCCTTCTGGGGTGCCTCGCTCATGACTGCTCACTGGAAGAAGGAAAGCAGAGAGGAAAAGCGGACAGCTGGAGGTCAATTACGTGAGTGGCAAGAGGACATTTTTAAATTTGGATCAGTGCCCATTTACCAAATGTAACATTCCTAAATGTATAAAGCAAATGCAAGTGAAAACAGAATTCCAAGAGAAATTGATGAGGCTAATCACAGTCTATCAAGAACATATTAATCATCTATGTTGGGGATAAACTGGATTCATCGATAGATCTGGTTGACTACTCTGTCCAGAGAAGCTACCACATCACACTCCTCCTTTGGGAGTAGTTCTACAGGGAAACATTGATGCACAGTTGCACACCATGGCAGTTCAAGGCTATCGCTGTCAAACGGAGCTACTGGACAGGGAAGTATAGCACGGGATATCAACTACACACAGCAAGTGAGCACAAAAGAGTGCACTGTATGTTTAATCTAAATCAATGAGGAAATCATTGTCTGAAATGCATCTTTGTTAGCTAAAGAAGGCAGTGCAATAAGTAAAGATGTAGTTACGGTCTTTTTGCCACATTACTGGACCTGGGCGGTATCGTTTTTTTTCCTCCAAAGCTTCCTGATCTTTCACTGGGCTACATGGTATATGGCGGTATTAGAATTTGTGTAAAAAAAACAAACAAACACAAAACACACTAAAAACAACAATGCAAAAACTGAGCTGCTGGTGAAGTCATTGTAGCACGTATGATATTTTCTAGCTTACAATGCTGTGTGATATGCAATTAGCCTATTTAGTGCGGTACCTGTGTTATGCATTTTTACATTCGTAGGTTCTACTGAGATTACGAATGAAGCTTTGAATGTCATCACCCTAAAGTCTGTTTTTATTAAGTCAACTTTCTTTAATGAATATATTTAACTTATCAATTATGGTACTGTTAACTTAGACAGTCCTGTTACTACAGGCACGTCTCCGTTTGCAAGAGGTAAAGAACTGTTTCACCAGCAACAATTAGTTTGAGAAAGATTTTGGAAAGGACTGCATCTATCTTTTTCCAATAAACTGTGTAGTTTGGACTTTACGCCACAAGGGTTGGGCGATTGGACAAATATTTCAGGGTTTTTTATTTTAGATTGCTAACTTAACGGTCTGCCTCCAAAGAACAAATGAGAGCCACTGCTCAGCGACAGACTCATTCAGCGAGCTAACCCGGTACAAGGAGGCCAGCATATAGAGCCAGAATATTTTCACATCTAACTCAGTGAATTAAGGGTTTATTTTGACCAAACCAAAGTTTACTATAATTTAACAATGTCATTAGGATAGCCTTAGTTCAGTGAAAGAAATAAACTTGAAATCAGAAGGTGTATTGTTGTATTTTTCTGCTTTATAAAGGAAATTAGGTTTTAAAGCATTTCCTTTCTTGACATTGAGTTTATTTTTCGGACAGCTTGTGGAAACTCACCAACTTGCCGCACACTTGGGATGTGCGATGTGGTCATACAATAATGTCACAATAGCAGTTGAGTTCCCATCGTGGGATTTTTAGCTCCTCCCCGTGGAGCTGGTAGAAATGCTACTTTCCCTTTCAGCCATGCTCGTGTGTATGACGCAAGACCAGTGTCTGTATTTTTGATGATATTTAAAATTATAACTTGGGGATTTCTAAATACCCGGGTACACCGTTATACCACCCACGCCTACACTATAGCCCTGTAAAAAAGCCAACACACAGGAATTTTCATCACTAGATCAATAGCCTACATCCGTTTGACCCATCCAAAATAGCCAGCGGGCCTCCACAGAATCAATCACTTTTTTCCATTGCAGAGTGCATGTAGTGTGGCGTGTTTAAAATCTGTCCTGGTATATAGAGAATGAAGCAGTTTGCACCCTATAGCTCATAGAGATTGGCAACCAAATAAACTGAAAAAATAAATAGATGAAAAATAGTGAAATTCTCTTCAAAGATTTTTTACACATTAACTTTTGTACAACCTGCATTTGGGTTACTTTAAGAAAATAGGTTTAACACACAGAAGTTCATGTTAAAACACAATGCAGTTAAGGTGTGTTGAAAAGTAACAAATGTAATCCACCCTGAAGTAAACACAAATGTGTTAAAATGCCTTTTTATTTTTTATTCCAGCATTGCTACCACACTAAAAAATAAAAATAAACACCCTCATTATTTCACAATTTCAGTTTTGCTAAATCCCAAAAAAACAGAATGCAAAAAAAAAAAAAAGGGGATTTAGCCATTTGTAGGGATTGTGTCATCACTGAGAGGCTGGCATGATGCAACATGGCCCACGGGTAAACTTATTTTAATCGGTAAATAAATATGCTACAAAAAAAGTACATTAGTTAAAGCTTAAGTCACGTGTGAATGTAATAAGACTATTCACCGAAAGAATGCAATCTACAACCATGGTACAGATCCACGCAAAAATAACTTGATCCTGTACTGCTGGCTGGCCTCCAGGGCAAACGCAGATGTGCCCCCTCTTCCCCGCGCGCGCACACACACACACACAGACACACACCACACCCATCTCTGTACCTGTGGCTCGCCCGACAAGCGACACTCAAGTGCAACATTAAAGCGGCTTATTGTGATTAATGTCACAATAAGCCGTACATTTGGTCAACATGGACCAAAATCGCTTCCATTAAATTTACAGGCATAGTTTTAACGGGAAACATCACTCGGTGAACGGAAAGCAACCGCTACCATTAGGGCCTCGTGACCCGTTTCTAGTATGGCGCCGACTATTTCCTGAAACAGAAGCATTCCTAACCAGACCGCTTTTATTAATGACCTGGAGGTTATACCAATTTTATAGCCACTCCGACTCTCTCAAAATGTGTACACACACCTTCAAACGTGTGTTATCCTCTAACCGGAAAATTATGAGCTTTATTGTTTAGCGCGACGACATAGCCGTTAAAAAGGTGTGCTAGTTTGGCGGTCCGTCTGGTGGAAGATGTGATAAGAATCACACTTTGCCACGTCTTCTGTCAAGTAGTGCATTACCAAAACTAACGCACTACTTTGCTAACCTAACGTTAGCAAATAAAACTGACACTATCGTTACTGTGCCACGGATGTTAGTGTAACGTTATCTTGCTGCCACTGTCAGCCAACGTTAATATAACCGACGCTGAAAAGTGAGATTAAGAGAAATCCCGAAGAACAAGACATATTGCAAACGACAGGCACTCTTCATAACCTCACCAATTACTTCAGATAACATTTTTTTTGTAGCCAATGCCAAAGAATATCAGAGCTTCAACATCCGACCTGACACGCCTTCTCCGTCTAATGTTCCATGAAACCAGTCATTAGACACATCCTAAACTGTAGCTAAGCTAACCATTGTTCTTTGGTTTGATTGTCGCTGCTACACGCACTCCCACAGTCAACGCGAGACAGAGCGCTTCCATTACCGATATATTTTACGATAAGCGAGAAGGCCGACAAGTTCTAAAAACGTAAAAGTGAAGTTTTAGAAGCGGTAAGTCCTTTCATACCTGAGTACTGGCAGATAGCAGTGATGTCGGTGTACCAAGCTACAGCTGATTCTCTCAGCCTGTCCGTCTGAATGCAGTCCACGGGGTTTCCCTCCAATCACACCAGTCCAAGGCACGGCCAGAGCAGGGGGACTGACGTCAAACGTTACCACGGCAACCAAACTCAAGACATTGTGGGAGTTGTAGTCCCCCGTTATCTTAATCCGTAGTCTTCATGAGGTCAATATGAGCACATTTTTTATTTTTTTTTATCTTAAAATTATGTTACAACTGTGATATTTTTCACACTCCTCCATGTGGTCAATTTACAACCCTGAATAATTTTGATTTAAATTCAATCTCTCATGGTGTTGCATCCGAGCAAACAGAGAGCCTACATTTATGAAAACTTCACCTTGAAACATCACAGTAACCTCCATATGGAAGTGCACATCACTTCAAACACTGTCCTTTGTCTTATTGCAGATCACAATGTTGTATCAGAGGCAGAGACAGCACACCCTGCATATAGACTGAACACTGGAAGGAATACTTGCTGCTACATGAATCACTGCTGTGTGGTGCTAATTAGAGACTGATTTGCCAGAGTGATATGTCTCTAACAAAATGAGAATGAAATTGTGTCTGGAACAGCATTTAGGTGTATTTTCTGGAGATGCTGAGGGCATCACAAACTAGAACAAGCGGCACAGTGCTACAGCATATCTTGTCTAATAGAAACTACTATTTCTGCATTCTGGTTGGCTTCCAAGGGGAGAGAGTGAAGCTATTTTTGCCTTGTCACATGTTTTCCCCTCAGGCCAAGATTTCAAACTTGTAACCTATTTAAGGGTGGATAGTGTTGGCTCAGGGTGTAGCAATGCACAGGCACCAGTGCTAAAAAATGAACGTCTCTTCTCAGTTGTCAAGGTGTGGTCTAGAAGGGGTGTAGTACTAAACCAGAGGGATTTCAACTAAAGGAGAGTGTTAAGATAAAGGCATGTAACCGGTTAGACGACTTCTGACTCGGCACCCTATGCTTGAAAGATTCAAGCCTCCATGTTAGTGGAAATTCACAATGCTGAAGTTGCACAATCCCAACTAGCTCCACTTGTTCGCCTCATAATGATCCATTAAATATCACTTTATTATTTTGTTTACATGTCTCTTAGACAATTACAACAATCTGTAAGGTATTCTTGTAGCTGCATTATTGTACGTCCATGTTCATTTTAAAATTAAAAAGGGCCATCAGGGTGATGTCAGCTTAGAGACTACACATTTATTATTTGTAGGTGTGGAATTATAGATGTTATAAACTCTGGGCTTAGGAATGTGCTACAGGATGTATGGATGGCATCCCTTATTATTATTATAGTACCACATTGTTATTTTTGTCATTGTGTTGGCAGTAGTCATAGTAGAGCTTTGTGGATGCTGGATTTCCACCTGCATGTTGGTGACAAATGAGCAGGCAGTGGAAGTACTTTATGGATAAGAATTTTGGATCCAGTTAGATGTAGGTTTTTGATCTATTTTATCTCCTATCATACACAATTTGTGGTGTAACCACACTGTAGCCTGTCACACTATTACTGTATATTTTGGACTTTATAGCGCTTTTTTATTATGCTGTTGTATTTTACATACATATATATAAATGAGAAAAAAATCCCAACACGGCAAATCAGTTCAGTCATTCTATAAAGACTAAGACAGGAATGTAATAAAACAATTCATGCAATTTGACTTTTGTCGGTTTCACAATTCACCCCTTAAAAAACACGCAAAACATGAAAAAATTACAAATGGCAATTCACCATTTAGATAAGCAAAGGCTGCCCCCATTAGAGTCAGTTTGAAACATATGGAGTCTACATATCAAGTATGTATATATAGATGGGAGAATACTGTATGTACTGTGTGTATCGAAGTGTAGCCACACATAGCTGTAGCACAGGCATTGTGCACAAGTATGTACACCTGTCTCACATACGCTGTTGATGAAGTACCAGTTTTGTTTAAATTTCTGTGTGTAGAGTATGGTTACCTATGTGCTTGTATATCTTATCTTATGGGATTACATTTCTTTGGCAACACAGCTCTTCTAAAGCAAACAAAGGGATAACGGCATTAATAGAGTGTGACTAATTCAGAACCAACATTATAACCCTCTCACTGAGTCTTTATTACCTTCATTCAATTTTATTTTTATAGTGCCAATTCATAACAGAAGTTATCTGTACTTTTACACTTTTGACATAGAGCAGGTCTAGACTGTGCTCTTTGTAATGTTATTTACACAGACCCAACAGTTGACGCCATGAGCAAGCACTTGGCGACAGTAGCAAGAAAAGAAACCTTATAAAAAGAGAATTGTTTTCATCATAAACTGTGTGGATGAGCAACTGTTAAGATGGGTCTTGTTCTCTCACCAGGGTAGAAACTGACAAGCTACTAAAACTCAGATTATTGAAATTAAATTTATGGGGTCAGAAGCAGAGGTAGATGAAGGAGTGTGATTAATTATACTTATTCATTTCCACCTTCATGGCAGGTTTATAGATGCTCACAGGAGTGTTAACTGTAATGTGGTAGTGATTATAATGGTTTAACAATAACCGTACACAATTATTGGTTTGAATCAGGTGAGGTCTGAATTAGCATTAGACTAATAACCCACACAGTAGGTGGAAACTCAAAAGGCTATTAAACAACCTAACACAAACACTTACACATATACACACGAGCAATAAAAGAATGTCCAGGTGGAAATTTCTGCCTGAACAAAACAAACAAACAAACAAAAAAAACCACAACGTAATAATGGTTCATATAAAAGTAACACATTTATTAAAAGGCTATTAACATTGTGTGGACAAAGATATGGTTATTATAAAAGTAAAAACGTGGCTGTTTGTTAGTCCAGACTTTTGCACAGTGATACAGTGTCAGTGGTTAATGACCAGTTGGTCCAAATGTATTGAAAATAGATCCTTTCTATAAATGGATTCTCTGTCTGTTAGTATGCTATGAAAAGAAACAAATATAAAAATACGAACCAGCTTACAGTGTAATGTAGTTCTGACTTATAATGCAGGTTCAAAGGCGAAATACTTTTGCACCATCATGACAGGATAACACTAAATAGTGTGAGAGTGCACTTGGGATAATTTTCACATTGAAATGATAGTTTAAGACAGGTTACACTGAAAAATACAATAGTGATTAACTGAATCATCAAATACGATAGTGGTGCACACGATTATAACACTTACTTCTTATTACAATGACAAACTGGGAGAAAAGGAGTAGCTCATTAGAGTTATCACTTACAACACCCAGTGCAAACTTATCTTCACTCATCAGACCACTTCTCACAGTGAAAGATATAAATGTTTTATGCAGTCATCACATTGCTTTATGAGAAGAGGAGTAGAGAAAATTATGTCATTGAAGGATTTGCCGTGAGTTGGCTTGCAGTGCCCTCTCTGGTCAACTTTTACAACTTTGTTGCATGTGAGAAAGATACATAGTGGACATGAACTAAATACATCTCATGAAAATCTGAGGGGGAAATGCAATGCAGAGTTTCATTACCCGTGTAGCACAACATGTTTAATATATTCTTTATATGAACAAAAGCTACAGACGCGTCCTGAAATGTTAGAAATTATCTAGGGATGGAAAATCAGTGCAGATTGGAAGTACATCTGAATCTACTCAAAAGAACAAATTATTTGTGGTTTTGAATGAGTGTCTTTCCAAGAACATTATGAATGAGTTTCACGGTACATTGGATTTGGATCCAAGTATCATCTCAGTGTTACAACTGTGTTCAGCTGAGCCAGAGCCAATTCATATTTTCTTCTAAATTCAGAGCTTGTCCTGAAACAATGGGAGCCCTGAGATGGTGTAATGGTGGTAGAGCCCATGGACAAGAAAAGATCAGATAATATTGCATACAATCAAAGATGGAACATATACAGGTCTACCTTAAGAACTGGCCCTGGATCAAATTCTGGTAAGTGAAGATAGTTTTCTAAAAAATCCAATCTGCAAAAAAAAAAGACCATGGGCAGGCAGACAAGTACCACCCAGCACGAAAAACAACTGAATGTGATGTACTGAAAATAATGAACAACTGAATATAATTTGAAATATTGCAAATTGTAAAAGCCTGTCCTGAACCCCAACTGTCTTACTGAAAGAGGGGTGAATCTGTTACGCCTCCACACCGACCAACTCCGGGGGCATTGGGGACTTTGGATGTTTGCTTTCAAAGTGCTGCTTAAAGGTCTTCGGGTCGGGCATTTGTGTCTGAGAAAGTATGGGAAAGCAAAAAAGGAAAATTAGAAATGTACATTTAAACAGACAGTATATGAAAAGCACTTTCATAAAAAATGTATTCATATACTAGGCATCCAGCCGAGTCTGGCCTATTTACATTGTATGCTCATAAAATGATGTCAGTTTGTCCAGGTACATCATCAGCGCCATAAAGGTGGATATCTGGTCTTTCACAAGGTCATTTGATGGATGAAAAGACGCATCGTCCACCACGTTAAAATGACAACTTGTTCTTTCTCTTTCAGAACGGCTACCTTCATAGGCGAGGTGAGAAGCTGGTTGTCAGTAATCACTGGGACAAGAGATTAATTATCAGGCTGAAGCAAATCAAGTATTTCACTGACAGGGAACATAGAGGTCACCACCTTTCCTGGTGAGTGTTTAATTTCAGGAAGAGAGGATGGCATGTCAGCTCATATCTGTCCCAGCTATTCAGCCACAAACACAGACAGTGTTAGGAATACGAGGAATGCGGAGAAGAGTTCACGAAGCAATTGGGAGTTCTGCCCATTTTCATACCTGCAATGTGCATCTGGACAATCATTGAAGAGGTCTCGGAAAGACAGAAATTTGGGCAAAGCCTCCTCAACCAACTTTCTGAGAGAGTTTTTAAAGAAAAGCTTTTGAGTGTCTAACCTGGAAGGCATGTGGCTTATTGTCTGCCCTCCCCCAGCTTAACTTCATGGTTAAAAAATACCAAACTCATAAAAGTTCTGTTTTCCGCCTAAGCACATACCCGACACACCGTGCACGTGTATACTAAAGCAGCCTTAGCTGCTGCCTTCTGGTCATGGCCTTTGCTCTTCTTGATGTCTGCCTGCTTTTTGGCATTCTTCTGCTGGGACTGGAACTTCTGGTGCCCACGGGCCATATCTGATGCTAGACCTGAAGAAATTATACAACACCGTGAAGAAGGTGAACTGAGAAAGACTATAAAACCTAGCTTGCAGTAACAGTAACTTCTGAGAAGGGGATGGAAAGGAAAATGAAAGGCACCGAGCAACTGAGACGCACTAACTGAACACACAAATCAGTTACACCAGGTGAGGCTTCAGATGAAGTATCAATTTTAAGACAACGGTCTTATAAGATCAATACACTTCAAAAATGTATGTGCAAGGCAGCAGTGGCTGTGAAGCATCTTTTTAGAACTAGGTTAATTTGTTTTTTGTGGGTCACAGGGATAATGCAATTAACATGGAAATTTCCCCAAAGAAATTCAGACTGCAGATAGTTATTATATACATAATACTAGAACTAGGTCAGTCATGTGTCTATATTAACTTTTTGAATAATAGCGACTGTGAAGGGACGAATATTTTAACAATACACGGATCGATCAGCAATTTCAGAAACAGTATGTGCCGGACAGCAGTAACACTTTCTGTCCTTGCTTGTAACTCTAGGTTAACTCACTCAGCAACCTTAAATATTAAAAATGTAATCCACCCATGGCCACTGTGGTGGATATGAGGTCAGTCTTCCAGCCGTGCATCGCTCTCATCCGGCACCCAGACCTCAGCTAAAGGTTATCAGAGAAGGCTGGTTAGGGGTCAAGTTAGCCAACTTTAGCTAGCCACCGAGCGTTTCGTTAAGGAGGTTGCAAAGGGTTAACTTACTGTGGAAGAAATGATCGTCTTAGTAACACAATACTCGCGTCTTTAAGTACATTTATATCATAAACATAACAATAATTAAATTTCCAACAAGCGTTAAGAGAGACGCGCATTCTGTTAGCCGGTTGCTATCACTGACACTAGGTTAGCGAGGTAGAATAGCATGAGAAAACACGGACAGAATATTAGGTAGTTTAGATGTTAGGCATTAAGAGTCATAATACAGATTTGGTAAATACCTTACCAGTGAAAAATAAATGTATTTCTGAAGATAGCCACCACAACAGAAATCAGGAAATGCTAGGTTGAGTCCTCTGGAGCTTCCGGCGCTGCCAGTGGTTTGTCCTCACTGTGCTACTGCGCATGCCCTCGATGTCAACTGTGCTGCCTTCAAGTGTGTGTCAGCGGCGACGGAAGCTTGTCGGTTTTGCATGGATGTGGCCCTTTTTTGGAAATTATCTGACAGCACGTAAAGGCAGCATCGGTTCCATCTCTTGCAACAGAAAAGGCTTTCAAGGCAATTCACAGAAAACTCTTAAATACGACTATACCACAGTTTATTAACTTAAAGTAGCCCTTTAAATATATAAAATAAAACATATAGATTTACTTTAAATAAAAAACGCGAATAGCAAACCACATTTGTGGATTCATATAGGCCCTCTGATGATTACTATTTTCCGTCTGAACGGTGCAAAATTGAATGCCTACCACAAGGTGTCACGGTACAGACGACAATAAGGTCAAGACCAGCGACAATACTTTTTTTCTTACTTTATATTGAATCCGTACAAAATAATAATGATTAAGATAATATATTGTATCTGGCATATTAGCCTATTTAATACAAATATTAAAACTACAGACATTCTTTTCAATTTCAGTGATTGTATTATTCATATATTTAGTCTCATCAAATAAAGACAACTCATAGGAGCGCCTTGAAAAATACTACAGTCCCTTAAAACGTGACCCAACTGAGCGAGGGGTGCGTATTACATGTTGTCGTTCACTACTTTCCTGCCCACTGGAGCTTTCTTAAAGTAAGAGCATAGTTGACACCTGAGGACAATATAGCACTGAAGAAAAGCACCAGTGTGGAAGAGACAGAAGCTGAATTTTAACAGGGCCACCTTTCCCTCATTTCAGGTCATGCACTTCCCCTCCTTGTTCACCAATGGGGGAACGACTGTACCACCTGTATAGAAATCTAACCAATCAGAAAGGCAACGTTCGTTTCCTTGTTTATCCTGCCGTTTCACATGCTGTACCCATGTCTTAATTTACCAACTTCTTCCAATACGATACAAGTCTGCCCGTGCAAGAAATGTAGTTTTTTTCCCCCGTTAGTCAGTGTAGGCTCAATTTTTGTGAACCTAATATCAAAGACATTCGAATGTTTTTCAGTACGCAAGATTACAGATGATTTCATTGGCTATTTTGGCTGAGAAGTTAAATAGATCCTGCCTCTTGCGCACCTAGTTTTCTCAGTCTCCCACACAGACTTACCTGCACTAACTAGAAAGTCCTGTTTCTCAAGCGACTCCTACAAAACACCAGAGTGTCCTGGAGGCAACATGGACCTGGACAGGTAAGAGAAAATAATTAATATTACTGATTATAACTTCTGTTAGTTTTACTACAATTTGCTAAAGATGTTTTAGATGCATTTTGTCTCTTTTGTCTTTGCATACAGGCAGCAGAAACATTATCATTGATTAAAAAAACATAATTCCTTCATGATTATTCCTTTATTTGATAAGGAGCAGTTTTTATCAAGTGGTACAAGAGAAAAAGGCCCCAACTGCATCACAGACACTGCAAAAATGACCAAAATTAATATAATGGCAATATTTTAGTGACTTTGTATTATGAAAACCCTAATGTAATTCATTGAGGTGCTGTTAAACATTACTGTTATTATTTGCTATAATTTTTGCTTAAAATTTGGCTTAACTGTGAATATTAAAAACTGTACAATAGGTGCCCTTTGAGATCTTCTACATACCGTCTCTTCTTGCCAACCTCTCTGAATGATGTCTCCAAAATAACCTATTTAAAATACATCTCTCATGTCATATTGACATTTTCAGAACGGAATCAGGACAGCTTTTTGTTAATTAGATGTGAGATATGAGCAGTTATTCCTCAGAAGTGACCTTACATAAACACACGTCACATGGAGCGGGCAATTACATTGAAGTTTGGTGAGAAACAGCCTGGGGCTGACTTGGTGGCTTGGCAGACACGGCTTCTGTTAATGACAGGTTGACTTTCCAGCAACATGGCTTATTGTCTTTTCCCATTGTCCTTTCGACCTCTCAGTAAGCGGCTGGTGGTGGTGGTACCAAATGAAGTGCTGGTGCCCTCTCGCAGAGTGTTCAGCAGCGAGGATGAGGCGTGGAGGAACTACCTGGAGAACCCACTGACTGCTGCCACTAAGGCCATGATGAGCATCAATGGAGATGAGGACAGTGCAGCAGCACTGGGGATGCTGTATGACTACTACAAGGTGTGGAAAGCTTGATAACAGACAAATTAATATTTAGACAATTTTCACATAATATATTCTGATTTATTTCAGATCTTATTTGCTTTAACCCTGTCAGGTTCCCAGAGAGAGGAGACGTGCCTCTAGTGGTGTTAAACCCACAGAGCCCTCTGCTACTGGGCCAGATAACTGCGGGAGCTTGGAGATACTAGATCACCACCTTCAGGCTCTCAGATCCATGCCTGTCAACCTCTCCTTACAGAACAGCACCCTTACAGAAGATCAGGGCTCCAAGTATGGAGCTAACTGCCTTGCAGGAGATACCAGAGGAGGAAATGGTAAAGGTGGAGATGGGGCGGCTCTGGCTCTGGTCAAGACAGAGGGCCAGACTTCTATGGGAGTGCCCTGTTCTGGAGGTTCCCATCGTGAAGAACCCAGAGAGCAGATAAGGATGGTCTATGAGCAAAGCCACTACGATTTGCCCCTCGATGGGTATTTGAAAGATGAACGGAGAAGCACTCCAGACAGCACATATGAGGATGCTGTGGAAGGAGAGGTGAGGTGGAGGTGGTATTCTGTCTCGCTTTTTAAATCAGGATCAAATTTGGAGGATTTTTTTTCTCCGTTAGTAGCAGTTTCCTGCATTTCTCCTTCTGAAACACACCGTCTTCTTTAACAGACATACCACAGAAGTCCCTCCTCAGGAGTTGATGAATTTCACTACAGTCTACCAGTGTAAGTTTAAATTTCATAAACATACAGACGACAAATCAAAGACATTATGACACATCCCACGAAAAGACCAAAACCAGCGGACTTCCCCAGCCTTTCTGTGGATCTAAACCCCAAAACCATTCATTCTTGGTGAAGATGCAAAATCTTCAGGAGTCCTCTCTTGACCTGGGTCACAAATACATCGTTTAATTTTTTTAAAAGACCCAGTAATCCCTAACACAGCTGGGCACTGTAGTTTTTAGCAAATGTTTTTCACAGAGGTTTATAGTGTTTGTTGGGGACTACTTTCATCCCTGCATTAATACACATTTGTGTTACTGAGTCAAAATAAACTACAGTGTGTGTGAGATTGGTAATGAAGGATAATGTCACCCAGTGCAGCACACTTGTTAGTAGGCTTCAATCGCTGTCATCATTGCATATGTTTTCACAATGACAGTTTCCAGTACTATATGGAGGCCAGCATGTCGCTGCGGCCGCGGCAGGTAGAAGGACCCATGGCTTACCTGAACCGGGGCCAGTTCTACGCTCTGACACTGTTGAAGACCAGCCTCAGATCGTCCCTACGTCAGCCCAGAGGCAAAGTGCGGGTGAGTGGACTGACGCCATCACACGGGCCTGCTGGGGGCCCATCCAATAGTGAGCAATGCACCATGGGAGGCTCTGATCTGCAGCGGGACAGTATTGTACAGGTGAGGGAGGGGAGATAGTACCATGGAGAAGAAGTGTAGAGGGTGAGGTTAAGGGTTTTAATGTGAGCTTATTGGGAAACCTTGCTGTTTTTGATCCATTCTGTTTTGGCCTGACTAAACTGTAATATAGTTTGTAAATTTTTGCTTCAACTTCAGAGTGTTATCATGGTTGTCTTTGGGGAAGACAAGTGCAGAGACGAGCAGCTGAAGAATTGGAAATACTGGCACTCCCGCCAGCACACTGCCAAACAGAGAGTCCTGGACATTGGTAAGATGATGATTGTTATCCTCCTCACTGACGGCCCTGCCTGCTAGAGATGGAGATAAGAGAGACAATGATAGAGATAAAACTTTTTTTTATCCTAAGAACCCCCCCCCACCCCCTCCAAAAAAAATCAGTGCAATTCAAATGCACACTACGCAGCCAAGCTCACAACAATGTTTCATACAGTAGTCCTTTTGTTGAATGAAAGTTTCGCCTGTGCTGTCTAGGAGACGGGGCTGTGGGTGTATGTGTGCGTGTGTGCTTGTCGGGGACGTGATCGGGATGAGGAGGGGCGACAGTCCATTTATGATTCTCACTGCTTGTAGAAAAAAACTGTTTAGCATCCTGCTCGATCTGCAGCTGATACTTTTGTACCTCCTCCCAGATGCAGGAGGGAGAAGATGGTATGGGATGGTTTACGTCCTGAATGATGCTGTTCTTTTTCATAGGCCGTATAGCTTCCGAACCAGGAAGAGAGACCATAGGTCAGGATGGTTTCAGTGGCGCCCCTGTAAAAGGTAGTGAGGTGTACAGAAGGGAGACGTGCTTTCCTGAGTCCCTCCATCCTAAATGCCGACTCATTATTGTCCCTGATGAGTCCCACCACTGCTCTGTTGTCTGCAAACTTTATGATGTGGTTGTTGCTGAGTCTGGCACTCGGAGGTGTATAGGCTAAACAGTAGGGGGCTCAAGACACACCCTTGAAGTGAACCTGTGCTCGTTGCGATGGTTCTTGAAATACGGCTGCCCACCCTAACCTTCTGCTGCTGTTGTGTTCAGAAATGGAGGACCTAGTTACAGGTGCCAGTATCCACCTTCAGCACTTCTAGCTTTTCCACCAGCTGCTGTGGAATGATTGTATTAAATGCTGAGCTGAAGTCTATAAAGAGGATCCTGGCATAGGTGTTCTTCTGCTCTAGCTGTGACGGCGTAAGGTGAATCGTGGGGGTGTAAGGGGTGTAAGAGTCACAGGACAGCAGTCATTGAGACAGGATGGATTTGGCTACTTTGGGTCAGGTATGATGGTAACACATTTGAGGCACCTGTGGCTTGATGGGGTTTATAAGTACAACAGATGGGGAATAGGCCCAGATACAAAATGGGGCACACACACACACACTTCGGTGTTGAATGTCACACTTGGATATTGATATTTGGACACAGAGCTCCACAAAACCTTAGAGGCATATAGAGAATAAGCAGGTGGCAAACCTGCCGGAGACTCCAGGAGGATCCTGTCACATATCTGGAGGTGAAACCCAACACTATTTGAATAACTGTCAATCCTCAATTCCCACAGGAGCACTGTGAAGAGACAGCTAATGGGTCTGCATTTGCATAGACGTTAGCAGGAGAAATAGGTGGGGTCCTGGACTGAGGCCATATCCTGTACGATCAGCAAGAGACAGGCCTCAGCCTGTGGTTAAAACCTCAATGGAATGAGGCAGTGATGTCAGATGCTGGTGGTTTTGTCTGTGGCAAGTTCATGCCAGTTTCATGGCAAAATCTATAACCTAATGTGGAAATAAGCAATGTGAGCAGCAGTTGAGTGTTTCAGGAGGAACAATGACCTTATTGAATTTTTTTTGGAACTTGATTGGTTGGCAAAATCATTTCACGGGTGAAAAGATGCTAGATTATGATAGATAGATACTGTATGTAAGATAAACGTTCTAACGTTCTAAAACGTAAACAGTCTAATTGCATATAAACACTGGTGGAAAGTAACTAAGTACAAGTACTGTATTTAAGTACAATTGTGATGTTCTTGTACTTTACTTTAGTACATCCATTTAATGTTACTTAATACCTCTACTCCGCTAAAACATTTAACTCCATTTATCACAGACAGCTATAGTTACTAGTTTCTTTTCAGATTAAGATTTTACATTAAAAAACATATGATAACATATTATACAGTACATTGCATAGTTAAAATTACAACCAGAGTTTACAACCTTTTCTGGATTGTGAAACAAAGCTGTTCCACCAAAGAGACTCTCATATTTGGTTCATTTAAATTAAGTGAATGAGGCCCAAGGAGGTAAAGGTGTAATATTTCACAAAAAAGCAAAAATTAGAGAAAAGTAACCAACCCCATAAAAAATCTCACAACCCCCCAGATTTATATTGTGACCCTTTGGAGGTTTGTAATTACAGGACTAAACTACTGAAAAGTATAAAGTAGTTTGAACTAGTTCCAACTTTACCAGCAGCAACAATAAAATGTTATTTATGCAATGATGCATCTTAATTAACAATCTGTTAATATATAACAATATATATTTGTCACAGTGGTAATTTTTCTGCAGAACAAGTATTTTAAATAGAGAACTTTTACTTGTAATGCGCTGTTTTTACATTGCTGCTTCTGCCACAGTTTTGAAAGTGTCGTGAAATGTTACAAAAACCCCACACTTCAGCATCCAACATCCACTGAAACAGTTTTCTCTGATCTCTACTTTGCACGCAGCCGACTACAAGGAGAGCTTCAGCACTATCGGCAATGTGGAGGAAATCGCCTACAATGCTGTCTCTTTCACATGGGATGTCAATGATGAAGCCAAGGTAAAAATGCAGGGAATAAGGAGTTGAAGTCAAAGCAAGAAATGATTGATCTAGTGAGTGAAACAGGTCAAATGAAGTAGCTTTCACTGTTTATTCTCTAACTGTACCTTCACTTTCACACCCAGGCAGTTAACAATTTGGTTTTGTCACATTTTTCTTTCTTTTTGTTAGTACAAAACTTGTAGCCACTTGTGGGAAAGATTGCTCAATGAAACTGTGAAGACTCTTTAGCTGACTCTCACTCTGTGCTGTTTATGTCAGCAGACTGTTGATACCTCAGGGTTTCAGGTGGCTTGGTGGAGCATATGCCAGACCCCTTTGTCCACCCTCAACCCCGCTGGCCTCTGTGACAGAGGGCGCGGCTCTTGCTATGTGTTGTGTCAAGTTTTGTGATCGCAGACATGCCGGGCACACAGCAACACACCCTGAAAGGAGCCTCTCAGATTTCACCTTTGTTAAGGCGGCCAGTTGGCTAAAGACAAATATCAAACAATGAGTAAACGCACACCCACATACACACAGCAACAGCCCACCTTCAGGGTGTTTTGGTCTCAGCAGATTGTGGCTGTGACTCCCATTCAGCTCAAACTTAATGAGAACTCTGCAAACAGCCTCATTGTAAGAGAGGTAATTGCAGCTTTGTTGGTTTTTGGATAAATATTTACTGTTTGGCAAAAACCATCACTCCACTGTAATTGTTTTTAGTGTGTTCAGGTGGTGGTGTGATGATTTAGCATCAAGCTGTGTTCATTCATTTTCAGTTTTTCTACACCTGACCACAACAATGTGCCAGTGTCTATTAGTTTGCGAATATATTGTAGACCTCGTGTAGATGGAAAGCCACTAGATCTCAGACATCCCTTTTAAGCTATCATCATCATCTGTAGTTAAAGACATGAAAGAAACACACTCCAGCTGTAGAAAACAGTTAAAGTTTGCTTAGTTTCATCTTAAAGGGGTTGATTATGTGATTATGTCAATTTGGGGGTGTGAGATCAAAACCTGTGAAGCTGTGTTGGAGGGATCCCGACTTCAACTCCCTAATTTGGGGTCAAGCCCCAAATCTCTTGATCCTATACTTCCCATAAAGCAAGTTGATAGCATATTTTTCATAGCCCCTCTGTGCCTGATAAACATCCACTTCTTTTAGTTTTTCTTGTCCTGACTTTTCATCTCGTAGGTGAACATTTTTTGAAATGTGTGAGAGTATGTGTGTGTATGAGTGAAATGTCTCAACTATTGGAAGGACTGCCATACCATTTGGTGACTTTTTCTCTAGCGCCATCATCAGGTCAACATTTAAATGTGTTCAGTACCTACAAAACTATACATTCCCATCAGCCTCAGCTGTACTTTGTGTTGAGTACTAATTAGCATGCTAACACAGTAAGCTAAAATGTTTTAGAGGTGTGTGTGTGTGTGTGTAATCATATTTTTGATATTGCAATATTAATTTGATCTCATCTTGTCAGGCTTAAGGATTTCCCCAATTCCCTAGAATATTGTTTACAATCACAGTATTGCATGCTAGGTCAGAGCTTGCTGGAAATAAAGTGGAAGAGGCTGAGAAAGCACAACTTTGACATTGTGATGATAGATGTGTGCACACATGTCACTTATCACATCTCTCTTTCTCTCTTTGTTGTGCCACCTAGAATTTGTGGTTTCCAAACATAATTGGATGTGCAGTCAGGCCATGATGAGCTGACACGCAAAATTGGTATTTTGGTGCAAATGATGAGTTATGTTTTTTTGTTTTGGCATGGCTCTTCTGTTGCCAAGCAACAATCATCATCTTCATTGTAATGAGGAATAGTGTGAATTGTGTTGGTAGGGGAGATGAGCCGCTTCCTGCAGGATGCCTGTTTTTGTGTTTGTGTGTTTGTTTGTGCTGGGTTGAGCGGATGGCACCGAGCAGCCACTTACCAGTGCCCTCATGAACCTTTCTCTTTTTAGGAAGGTATTTGAATGCTCACACATGCAGTATGCGCAAACACAACAAAACTCCTACACACACACACACACACACACACACAGATGCTAGCAGCAACACGTCCGGTGCTTCTTGATACATATAAATGGCCTGGGTCTATGGAGGTGTGAGTTTGTGGAGGTGTGTGGAGGCTCATTTGTGCTCCAGGCCTTTCCAGCAATCAGCCCTCACCTCTGCAGGTTCAGACACGATGCTGTTGATGCTGTGTAGTGGGAAAATTGCTTTTGAGCCTGCGGTGAGGAATCTCTACCGTTAGTCGTCTCTGCTGACTTGTTGCTCAGGCTGTCGGTCCTGTTTAACTGGAAAATTCATCAGGAGTTTATGTTAAGATGCTTTGGCATTAAACAAATATCATAAATCATGGGAATCGGTTCTGTCATGTAAATGTATGAGCATAACCACACATAGTAGTGTTCATAGTGTACACTTCATGGTTTAAAATCTTTACAGGACTGTACTGTACTCTGATGTGGGTGAGGTTTTGTGAATTCTGTTTTGCTCTCACAAGCTCTTAAAAGATTCAGCAGCTCAGCAAGGCAGCAGATCAGCTCTGCTACATTATTTAGTGATTTTGGAGCAAAGCCTTCCATTTTTAAAAGCTCTGGCCCAGAGAGGTCTGGGACAATAATAATCCACCTTCAATACAGTATTCCAGTACGCAAAACAGCAATCTAAATCGATTTAAATTAATATCATTCACAAGTGTGTTCTCACAGATTTGAAGCTAATTTATCAGCATATAAAACATTTAACATACGGAGAGAGGTGGTGGGACACATTTGCACGGCTGAGTGTTGCTTTATGGCCTGTGAACTGCTGCTGTGACTCATGACCCTGTGACCCTCTCACTCATGTCTGCGTCAGATTTATGAGTCAAGTGAAGATTCACAAGGGAACAAAATCGGCATTAGATCGGACTCCTCATCTGAGCCAGACTGGCTATAAAAACAAAGACAGTTATCAGTTAATTAAAGTGATTAATTTCCTGGTTTCTACAAAACCCCGGTTGACCTCAGAACTCATCCAGGCAAGATTCTCACATTCTTTACATGTGAACAGTCCACCTACAAGAAAGTCTCTATACTACTGAGATGATTTACGGTTGTAGAAAGGTGTCAAAAGATTTCAGATAAGGTGGAACAAAATGTTAAACTACATGTTCTCATTCACCATCACTGCCAACTCTGAGAGATTTATGATGACAAATGTTTTTTTTTAATATAAAAATTTAACTTCCTTGTATGACTGTGTGGTTCCCAGCCTCCACAGCCCTGTCAGATGATGCCCGGTACCCTGACACCACCCGTCATGTTCCAAATGTGTTCAAACTATATAAAAGTGGATACTGTCAGTGTTTAGCTTTTTCAGCGCTCAATAACATGCATCAGCTTCAGCTATTTCAGCGGTAGCCATTACGTTTAACAAACTATTTCAACCATTTATCGATAAATAGTAAAACGCAGCTAAGGGTTTTATATCCTTTACTTTTAATGAACTATTTCAAATCGTTAGCTTTGGACCTCTCTGCTTGCCTGCTAATTAGTTTTCATGCACTCACATGATATTCAGGTGACTCAATATGAGGATACTTTTCTTTTTTTAATCAAATCATAATCTAAATTTTTTTTAAATTAGATGAGCCACTGTACAATCTTTCCACATAGCCCCTGGTAACTGCTGAAGTACTCCCTGGGTTATATGTACACCTGGTTAGGAATCACGGATGCCTGACGCCTATTTGAGAACCATCTCGCTCACTGCTTGTTGTCGTTCACAAAACTCCAGAAACATACTCTGTCTTCTGTCTTATATTTTTATTTCCTAGATCTTTATCTCTGTGAACTGTCTGAGCACAGACTTCTCCTCACAGAAGGGCGTGAAGGGGATGCCTCTGATAATCCAGATCGACACCTACAGCTACAACAGCTGCAGCAGCAGACCCATTCACAGGGCCTTCGCTCAGATCAAGGTCTTCTGCGACAAGGTGAGGATGGCCTGCTGGCACAGTCGGCTTCCTGGTCTGGTCAGCAATGAGCTGATCATTTTAAACGTGGATGAAAGGTTTTTAACTGTACTTTTAACATCTTTGTGCATATTCTGCGTTTTTGGTCCTGTTCGCCCCACCTTCGGTGTTTTGCAGGGCGCTGAGAGGAAGCTTCGTGATGAGGAGAAGAAGCAGCTCAGGAAGAGGATGAAAGGTAAAAACATTCTTTCTTTCTTCTCCAGTTTGGTAAATTAATTAATTATTATTACTGATATGAATTACTTTAAATGTCATGTACAGAAATAATGTTAGTGAGCTTGATTTGAAATGAGCTGAAACAAGGTTACAAAGCACTTTCCAGGAAACCCTGAAATTGAATAGGAGAGCTCAGCAGAAGACTAAAAAGCCAGGCAGATGTAATCAAACCTTATCAAATCTGTACTTGGAATGGTTGCTTGGCAACAGATGCTGAGTTCATGCTCTCTCTGGTTTAGAGAAAAATGGCAGCTCGGGGCCGACCTCTCTCATTAAGAGGGCTGATAACACGCTGTTCAAAACCATGATGGACCTGGACTCCCAGCCTGTCCTCTTCATTCCTGACGTTCACTTTGGAAACCTGCAGAGAGCGGGGCAGGTGAGGGACCTCTTTCTGTCTCACTGTCCAGCACACACTGCAGGACATGTCCAGTCACTGTCCAGTCTTGCAGTGTGCCTCATGTTGCCTTTTTACTCCATTTGCAGGTTTTTGCTTTCAACACTGAGGAGGTCAACAGAGATGGGTGTGTATCATGCTGTTATTTTCACACTTCTGCTTTACTCTCAACTCTCATGTGTTGCAGTTCAGTGTAGCTGTGTAACAGCTCTTTTGAGTGGTTCATTTTTGATGATCTCTCCATGTTGAAAATACCACTGAGGGAAGGTTAAAGACCGTTAAATAGATTTGGGATTATTTAACTCTGTCTGTATCAGACCTTCTGCAACAGAAGAGGGGAAAAAATGTCCTTGTTGTTTATTAAAAACAGGGATCCAGAAGTATTCTCTTAATGCTGATGGTGGGGTGTTTTTGTGTGTGTGTCAGGAGTGTTCTGGTGAAAAGGATGTCATGTGCTGCTGAGGAAGATCTCTGTCCACCTGAGTCCAAAAAGTCTAAAGAGGAACAGGAAAGAAAAGGTTTGTAAATGTCACTTTTCTCTCATTACATGTTTTCCATTGTACATTATTGTTTGACTAAACATTTTATGCTTTGTCTATCCGATGCATAGTTCTGCTGTACGTAAGGAAGGAGTGTGATGAAGTGTTTGATGCCTTAATGCTTCGCACCCCAACCCTCAAAGCATTGATGGAGGCAGTGAGTATTAACGTTTTTAGGTACTTTAGCCTGAAATCATCACATTGCATCCATGGTTCTAAACATCATAAGTCCTGGGTTCATTAAAGATCATTAAATACTTTGTAAATAATGATGATACTGCACTGCCAGGGATTCAGGTGATTTCATCATGTTGAAAATTTCACTGTGTTACACAGATCTCAGAGAAATATGCAGTACCTGTTGACAAGATGGCCAAAGTTTACCAAAAAAGCAAAAAAGGGTGAGTCAAACTGCTGAAACAAGATTAATTAAGAGTTGTCAGTCATGCTAGCCTCTCTGTGAGGCTGTACTTGTAAGTGGAGCTTTAAGCTAAATGCTAATGACTACTAATGCTAATATTTAGCAGGTATAATGTTTATCGTGTTCACCATCTTAGTTTAGCATATTAGCTTGTTAACATTTACTATTTAGCAACAAACACAAAGTGAGGTTGAGGCTAATGGGAATTTATTTTTAATGGGAATATTTATTTCAGTGAACCCCACAAAGCCACTAGAGGGAAACTGAGGGGATGACCAAAGATATCAGGATATATCGTCTCGGAACCATGCATAAACATGCAGATTAGCGCGAGGAAACTTTTCCTTATTAGAGATTTAGCTTTAAATGAACAGGGGCACTCTTGTCTGTTTATGCAGGGTCCTGGTGAACATGGATGACAACATCATCCAGCACTACTGCAACGAGGACACCTTCATCCTGGGTATCGAGAGCTCAGCAGGCTCCTTGCGAGTCACTCTGTCAGAGATCTGATGGTTGCTAGCCACATGCCTGTTTTCATCAGTCATCATATTGTCAGACAGAGGTGACGATTGGTGGGGGGGGAAGCCATGCCATGTGTAATAATTGTGAACGTCGCTAGCAGTATTTGATGACCACGCCAAAATGTGTTCGTTGAGGAAGGCCCCATAGGAGTGTCAGTGGGGTGTGTTGCCTTACATGGATCATCTGAACTCCATCCAGCAGGCAAAATCCACATACGCCTCATCTTTCTTGGTTGTCTGTTTTGTTGTTTGTTATTGATTGGTCATATATTTTACTGCGTACTAAATGATTCCAGTGGGTGCCAGTGAAATGAAACAGTTTTCCCAGGTTGTGATTTACATGCTGGTGTCTCAGGATCTAAAATTATACGTTATGGAACGAGACAGCAGGTCTCCAGGATGCTGTTAAACGGTTTGCTTCTTCTGTGCATGTGTTTATTGCCTTTCCTCTCACTGAAGAGACTGTAGTCATTAGTATTTATGACATTAGTTAGGGACTTACGAGGCCTAACTGGTCCATCCATTAACACAATCCTTTCTGAGGCTACTGCTAATCGCTCTGTTCCCACTCACTGCCTGTTACACCTGATTCGCTGACAGCTTCTGTATAGTTCATTAGCTTCATGCGTCATAATGTATAGTCTTTTAAATGAGTCAATAAATATAGTTTTATATGCAGTCTCTTGTGTTTCCTGATTTGTTTTACTTCTTACATCTGTTTGTTTGCAGTTGTAAAATAATCCAGTACCACTTTCTAAGAGGGCACCCTTTATGAAGGCCTTATGAGTTGTAATTAATGGTTAATAAATCAGTTACTACAAGCCATTAATAAGAACCCATTTTCAGTTGGCAGATTATGAGACTTTACTCTGGTTGGTAAGTTCTTCATAAGTGGATTTTGGTCCAGATCCTCTGCAGCCCATTTCTATTTTTTTGGTTTCACGACCAGGAAACCCAAAAGTTGCTCTTATTAATTAAAAGTAAAAGTTTAGTCTGAAGTGCCTAACAATATTGACAATGCAATTTTGGTCTTATTCAGTATAAATGCCATGCAGAAATATTCCTAAGTGTCAGGACCTGGTGCAAACCCGGTTAGTCGGGTGACTCTAGGGATGGCAATGTTGGTCAGAGGCTACACACCATTTGGAAATGTACGACAGTGAGTTGATAAAAGACACAAAGTCTGTCCCAATACCCATACTCCTATACAACCTGAAAAAGGCCATGACATGATGGATTCAGCATAAATGCATTCATTCACATGCAGAAGTCGATACTTACACACATGATATCAGCTGAGCTTTTCAAATTCTTGTGAATGGTGTCAAAATGTAAAGGCTTTATTTTTTAGGTCTGTTTTTGTAAATACCTTATCATTTCTACATGTAGTTACTGCACATACAAACATTCGGGCCTCCTTAGAAGAGTATTACTTAAGATGGTTACTATATGCTTCCTGAACTCTTTCCAAGATTTTAACAAATAATATCCCAAATTGCATAATATTGTCTAGATGGCTGTAGGGGACATGTCTTATTTAAGCATTCTGCTTGCATGTTCAACGTATTGAAATATGCATGTGTTGGTTCCAATGACTGATGGGTAGTCTAATCACAACAAGGTGTGCTTGAAGCTGTGATTAATGTGGTGCATCTCTGACATGTCACTTCTGGAGGCCCGCTATTAGCTAATTGACTGCTTAAGGGAGGGCATTGTGGGTAATTGTAGTCCTTACTTTCCAACACTTAAGAGTCAATTTTCCACTTTCCAACAGGTTATTTCACTGTGCGCCTTTCTGTAATCATGGATAAAAGTCCACACAGAATACACAGACTGCAGATCAGTGTGACAGGACACACTGATCTCATGATGACAAGGTGAACGGACGAAAGTCCTCATTTGACATTACAGCTAGGAAAAACTGGACAGCAGGTCAACAGACTCTTTCACAGTATGTTGGTCAGTACGACTCTTTGGCCAGACAAAAGTATCTCAAAAACTATTGGGAGAATTGCCATGAAAGTTTGTTCAGACATTCACAAACCCCAGAGGATGAATCCTACCGATTTCCGTGACCTCCTGACTTTTCCTCCAGCGCCACCTAAAGGATGACATTTTTGACTGAGAGTGAAATGTCTGCCATGAAATTTGGTACAGACATTCATGGTGTCCACATTTCATGTAGCGCTGTTATCAGGTCAATATTTATTTAGTCCAATACTTTAGATTATGACCCTAAGAGACACCAATTGCAAGTATAAAGTCAAAGGCAGTAAAATCAAGGAAACACATACTGTATCTCATTATAATATGAGGCAGTTCAACAGGATGGTTCCTCTGTAGCGCTTTACCAACTACTTTCATTTATGAGCATTTTGAAATTATGGAGCAGATTACTAAAATTGATACCAGATTTTTGAGGCCAATTCGAGCCTCATATAGCCTTTCTATATTCAGAAATTTAAAAATCTGATATTGGCTAATATTCTTTATTTTTTATACGTTTATCCTCAAACACAAGGATTTCTTAAATGAGCTTTCTGAATAATTCTGACCCAGATAGGCACTGAGTGGGACATTTTACAGTCTGTGCTCTCTCTTATTTATAAACTATGTCAAAATAACTTATTCTTACTTATTGGCCAACGTATACAAAGATACAATATCTATTCAATAAGCTATTATAGGCTGAACTGTATCATTCACATCGTCACATTAAAAGGTACAATGTGTTATTCCTGTCTACATGCTCCAAACAAATAAGAGGCAGCATCACTTACTGTCCCCAGCCAGGACACTAACTGATTCTGCTCCTCTACTCTTTTGTAATCACATGCAATGTTAGAGATTATCTTTACAAAAACCTCATGAATTAAGCTTTTTATGTGTTCCTGGATTAGCGGGCGCTGCTTTGTCTGCAACACTAAAGTCAAAGGACCATCATTGTGTGATGATCTGCATGGAGAGGGGCTCCTCTCTGTCACTCTGTATTAGACAAAACTAACAAATACGTGGAACAAGTACATCATTTAAAAAACACAACAAACAGTAGTGACACTATTTCTAATAGTTAAAGTAGACGGACGGATTTTGGAATTTCATCATGCGGGGAAAAAAATCGGCGGAGTTGAAACTCTGGGAGAACAGCAGGGAGAGGGACACACATGAAAAGGATTGGCTCACACCGTCTGAACAGCACTTTGTTTAACATGAGCCTCCTGCATCCCTAAAAAAATGACTATTTGACACCCAGTTAGGGACAGGGAACTTCAAGTGGTGTCGGGAGACAGAAAAGCAGAGGTAACGGTAATGAGAGGTCGGGGAGTGTGAGGGAGAGCAGCTTGTGCAGCATCGTTGATTGAATAGGCCTCAGAGTAGCTCTACTTTGTCGTTGTCTCATGTTAGACTGAGGGCAGACTGGACTCCACAGTGACTCATTATCGCATCTCAAGGAACAAGTGTTATTATAACAAAGGACAGGCCGGGGCTAGCTCATTAGCATGCTAACTTCAGTAGTTATCTCTATAACACAATAAAAAGACATTATTGACACAATGTCAGAGCGTTATTTCTTCACATTCTCTTGATCATGCTAGTTGATTTTTTTTAATGTGTTAACCTACATTTCTGGCTAAAATCTTACAGATTGTACCTTTAGACCACAATATCAAAACAATTAACCAGACACCACATTACTGCTTGCACACAATAAATTGCAAATTTAATTTTTGCCTTTTAAAGTTGACCAAAAAAACAGAATCCTGTGTTCCAAAACTGCAGTCACTAAATACAGGATACCATACAAAACCTACAAAATGCAACAATTACAAACATTTTGTTCAACAGATAACAATTGTACAGTATAAATTTATACAATACTGTTTTTGTTTTTATTTGGCACTTGACCACAAGATGCTATTTTGTGTTTTTACAGAAATGTTACACCTGACGTAGTTTTTTTTTTTTTTTTTTAAAGAAAGAAAAATCATAAAAATACAATAAAAGCAACACATTGTGACAGTATCATTGCAGTAGTTGTGATTCTCGGTTTGTTTGTCTGCATCTTTTTTTTTTCTTCTTCACAAAAAACAGCAGTCTTTAGTAAAACATTCAAAGCGTTTCTAATTGGAAAACAATGCAATAACTGAAACAGCTTCGCTCTGTCTGCCCTGGGGAGGGCTCAGTTACATTCAGGGGAGGGGGTCACACTAGTCCTAGTTGAACTTTCTTAAAAATCTCTTTCTCTTCTCTTTGACAGCTCAGTGAAGGAAAGAAAGAGGGACAGAAGATGAGACCACTTGAATGAATTTGGAGTGTTTGTATTTGTGAGACCAATAGCATGTCATTAGTTTTGAGTAACACTGTAAACTGCACACATGCTAATTAACTGAAAGCCTACAAAGAATTGGGACTGTTGCTAAAGAATTCAGCCAGCTCTGTGTATGTTTGGCCCCGTTACAGATACAACTGGATGGTGATTTAAATATTGAAAGAAGCTGAAGCTCTCAGCTCTGCCAGCATTACCCATGCAACACTGTGTCTTTATGTTTATAGGTTGTTGTGCATGGTGATCTTCCTAAAGCTCCTCTTTGTTTCCTACCATCAAGTCACTCATATGAACCATTACATGCGTCAGCTGTGGCAGTCCGTACGCTGTCAATAACACTGGCTACTGGTAGCACTAACGATGACAATACTAACATACAGAAGCGAGCACATAGCTAGATGGGCGACTGGCCGTTTAGCCACTCATATCACTAAACATACATAAAAACACATGCGCATTAAGTCACATGCATATGTGTTATTTAGTCTATGCACCCCTGTATCCAACTGTTCAACATGCGGCATTTGAAAACATCTAAAAGTGAACGTAAAGTGTGTCTTTGTTCTTCACATAGTAAATGTCAAAAAAGAAACTAGTTTGCATGCTTGACATGCTTAAATAAACATGTTTTTATTATTTCACAACATTTGTTATGAACTGAGCAACCTGGACTTTCTGAAATTTGCTTTACAGATTTAGGTGCACTTTAGTATATCTACCTCAAATACTTTAAAGTTTTCCTGATTTGCCTTAAACTAGAGCGCAGTAATGCGCCGCCACCGTCAGATTCTTACTGATATGAAAAACCACTGGAACAGATGAAGGATAAAGGGATGTGTTTCATCCTTCATTACATCAGTGAGACATCACTAAAATCAAACTATTGATTAGGGCGCATATGCATAGTAGCATAATATTACATGTTCATGTCATTTTGTCCCAGCACGAAAAATGAAACAAAGTCTATCAAGTTTGCAAAATACACAAACACACGTACACATTCTCACAGTAGAAAAGAGGAAACTAAGAGCGGCACTCGTTCTGAGTGAAGGACAATCTTCACAAGTCCTCTCTGCAGATTAAATAATCTCACCTACAGTATGCCAACACCATCATCTCTCTCTCTCTCGTTGTCTCATGCACATACTCTGTCTATGATACACATTAGAGTGACAGAGGCTCTGTGTCGCCCCGGCTGGAGCCTCAAAGGGCACAGAGAGCCAAGGAAAGACACTGATACACAGACTCCAGTTTATACTGTATATATACAACCTACTGCAGACCTTCTTTATACTCTGACATGCCTATAGAGAACGGAGGGATCCTGGTACAACGAGGGGTGTTTGATAATGTTCAGGTTCAGTATTTGTTGGGTTTTGGAGGTTTAGATAAACAGCTTGGGGTGTGTGTGTGCGTGTGTGTGTGTGTATGTGTGTGTGTGTGTGTGTGTGGAGGGGAGGGGGGGCAACTGGAGAATGTGGCTCCTGTGCCCATCTTTCCTCAGTGCATATTGAAGGCCTGTCCTCTTCATCGTCATCAGCTTGTCATTCTTCAGTCTGCTCCTTAGTGGAGAGTTATGGGGATTTAGAGTCACCCAAAGAAGCACTGCGAGGAGACAGATGAGGAGACAGTCAGATCACTGTTGGGATGACAACAGGTGTAAATATGTTGCTCATTCTTATCACATGTTGCATTTCATGGTTTGTGATGATGATACAATATAAAACAGCTTCATCTGATATATTTCTGAAGGGATCCATTCAAAACACATCACCAAAGTAAGAGATCATTTAAAAAAAAGCTGTTACTGCTACAATGTTCTATAAAAAAGCATTTGAATATTCATCTGTTACATAAACAGTTATCAGTTCAAGTAATTAAAATAATTGTGATGCTAAATGATAATTGCGTTCGATTTTACTTCTTATTGTCTGAACCAAGGTTGGGCAATAGAAACGATTCTATATATAGTGACACAGTCTTTCTGGAAAATCTATTGAGACTGGTGATGAATAAACAAAACAAAACAAACAGTTATAGACAGAAAGATTTATAGATAGAAATTAAAACCTCTAAAAACTGTGGAAATAAATAACACTAAATGTATGATTCATACCTGGAGAAAGACCAAGGACCTCTACCCGGCTGCTGTCATATTTATATCTTACTTCTGACAACACACAGCAGACCACACACTCCACCGTTTTGACTAAAGTCATAACCTGTAGCGCTAACAAAGCTCCTCAAGTGCTGCAGCAACTCATGCCTAGAGTTTAGTGTCAGAAAACTAAAGAAATGCTTGTTGACTTCACAAGACAGTAAGCATCTAAAAGTGTCAAACACCCATGGAGATGCAACACAAACGCCTCAGTTTAATCTTTTAAGCGCTTACATCTTTAGAGAATACTGAGGATATTTACAAGAGGAGCCCACAAACACTACCATCACTTCAGAAATGGACAAATCCCACACATGGGGCCTTTAAAAAAAATCTTTTTCAGAGCATCAACACCTTCAACAACTGCTCCAAAATAACAGGTCACCTCCTACAAAGTCTCTAATATCAGTCCATGAACTACAAATAGTCACAAAGCCAGTGACACCGTGGATGACCCATCCTACATCCTGCACAGTGCACACTGCCTCTGAACAGCTTTCCTCCAGCAGGCATCCTCACTGCCCGGGAGGCACGACTGCTCGTAGGAGAAGCACCTTTGTTAATGAGGCTGAGCCTCAGCCTTCCTACGAACCGCACTTTCTGAAAACTGCTGTAGTAACACCAATGCACTTTCTGCAACTCCCGGCTCGCTGACCTTGCTACACTGTATTACAAAAAGTTGGATTGCATGTGCGCCTTACAGGTTGTGTTGATGCCTCAGGTTTAGAACTGTCCAGCACTGCTGGGGTCGCACTGCAACAGGCGGACGATGGAGGGGTCGCTCTTCGCTCCTTTGATGAACTCCTCCAGAGACAGCTTACCTAAAACACATATAAACACCAGGACAAAATTAGGAGAGGCATTATGTTTTAGTAATTTATATTTTACTTCATGGCACAAAACCAAGGATCAATGCATAGACAGTGTAAGATCAACCTCACTTTAGGGCCCCGTGCTGTACTGGAAATATATACAGCACTAATTGGACAACACTGGACTGTTCTACGGTGTACTGTTGGATCTTTTGTCTCATTAGCTTGATTACTCATTCAGCTCATTCAGTTCTGCATTATAGGCTACCTCAGGCTGTGACAAGGAACTGTTCGTGTTAGTGTAAATCACTGGTGAACCAAGGGGTAGAAAGCCTTAAATAACCTTATAACCTCATTGTGGGGGTGGGGAGATAGCTTGGATTTGTATTTTGAAAGAATTTTAGTGAGATGATAACAAAACACACATTTCACACCTGAATCCTTTATGATTCTTTGCAATTGTTCTCCCTTTAGAGCCTAAACCACCTGTTTCAGAGCATGCTAATGATGTTCCACTTCTCACCAACAGGTGGCAGTGTTGAGACGGCTCTTCTTTCTCCCGTCCACACTAATAGACACACTCAAGTTGCCTCCCTAGGAGTCGCTCATTACTCGTGACTCATATTAAAAGAAGCAAAAGAAATACCGATCGTTTCAATGCCCAGGTCAGCAAACTCCCTCTCACTTTGTTCTGCTGTCACTTTTCTCCCAGTTCTTCCTCCTCCTCCTCCTCCTCCCTCTCTTCCAACCCACTCACTAGTTCCTCATTGTCCATCTCTCTGTTCTTCTTCTTGTTGCTTGCTTCTGTGTCTCCTGTGCTTACGATTACCACTGGAGTGTCTGTGCTCTTTGCATATCCACAGTACAATTGTGTGTGACGGACATGTGCTGTGTATTGCTAAAATTGCAGGTCAGGTGTGAATTATGTTGTGAACTGCTGCTTCAGGCTGGAGGACTCTGCAAGTGCCTCTGTAATGGAAAACCAGGTCGGTTTGTACAATGACAACAGCTGCAAGTATCAGGTGCCACTGACGAGCTGTTCAATATATTGCAGTTTAAATGTACAACTGTTGTGTCCGATTTCACAGAGTTAACCAATCAATATAGTAATTCTATCAGATTGTTTAGATTTGTTTGGCGTCTTGGTAGAGAAGCAAAATGAAAGTTGAATGAAACGACTTTGTATGTCAATTCTGGTCACAAGTTACAATAAAAATATCTTCAGATACCTGCAGTAGATGAGGTTAACCTACCGTCTCTGTTGGTGTCCATCTGCCTGAAGATCTTCTCTGTCCTCTTCTCAGGTGTCGACTCGTCCTCAGGCATCTTCATCACAGACGACACCATCTTATAGATTGCCTACAAAAGGGATGTATAGTCAATGATTAATCCACGGATCTCTTCTCACCGGTCTGAAATGAGCCAGACTCAGTGAAAGAAAAAGGTGATGTGCTTCCATGCAGGATTGAGCAACATTCGTATCATATGACGACAGGATGTTTGTGTATGCAATCAAACCACACCCACACAGTCTGATGAAACAGGCCAGCTAAGTGTTTGAGTATTCAATTCTCATTAGATAAAATGCTGCTTTTCTTTCAAATTTTAAACTTTTGATTGAGTAATTAATATTTTTTAATGTATGAGAGAAGTACTTTGGATTTGAAACCATGTTTTTAGTGTTTTTTTTCCCCCTCTAGAGTCTGTTCTGAATTTGTCAAAACTGCATTTTCACTCAATTTTAGTTCATTAATGTTGAGAAAGAAACTGTATTTAATATTTAATATGTATAATGTTACACGTCCACTGTTGGGTCATTATCTCAAACATACACATCCAGTCCTTTAAGTGCATGTAAATGTAGAAGGGAGCTCATGTTCTGGAGTTTGTACTGCTGCTTGTATTCAGCTTACTGAACTGAAGATTCACTCAGGCTAGTTGAGAAAAGCAACGTTCATTTGCCAACCCCGTGTGCCTCGATAGAGTTAACAGAATACACGCTTTTCTCCATATTCCATGCACCCCAAGACAGTGAGAGTACAATAGCTCGAGGGACCCAGGGAGGCGGCACACAGGAGTTTGCCACACACTTACATAACTTGCCCCTGTGATATTGAATTTACTGATATAAAGTAACATTTACTCTGCGGTGTCACAAAGACAAGCAGTGCCCACACCCATTCAGATGAGAATTTATTCCAATATGCCAACTTGTTACACTGCTTCTGTGATTATATTTTCGTGGCTTAGGTAGGGAGGGGTGGAGAAAAACATACACACACACACACAAGCAATCTCTCGCAGACTATTTATCAGTGTTGTGTCTCCTCTGCTCTGTGTTGCATTGCAGGCTGTTTGGCAGTAAACAGTGAAATCACAGCCCACTCTCTCTGTCTCTAATAAGGAGGCGGATTTGAGGGGAATGGGAGCTGACATGTGAACAGAGGAGGGCTGATTGTGATTACAGTGCAGCGGGAGCTTTAAATAGGTGCTGGTTATGCCTCCTATTACACAGTGGCAGGGCGGCTCATCTCCTGGGTCACAGTGGAGCTGAGGAACAGGCAGCAGCCACGGTTATTATCAGTCTTCATTTCACTTTGGACGTGGCTCTGTTATTAATCGAAATCCTTCAAACTGCTGTGAGTGTTTAGTAGATTTAGGCAATATTATATGTTGGGGATTTAGCTGTCGGTCTAATCCAGAGCAACGCAGTGGAATGAGCTTAATATCTAAATCCCAAAATTACAAGCAACCGATGAGAAGTGAAACGATAGCCCTCTCCATTTTCCACACCACACACAATGCTGTAAAAAAAAGAGCCAAAGAGAGACCGAGGAATTTTCTTCTTCCTCTATGCCACAGAGCTCAATTTCTGTCTAAAGAATCAATGAGGCACTGTGTTGCACTGGGTGACATGTTCCTTCACTACCATGAACATACACACGGTAATTTATTTTGACTCAATCCCACATCAACCCCCCCAGTTGCCCTGAATACTCACTAGAGCACCAAATGTGTGTATAGGGGTCACTATAGTGGACAACTACTCCAAATGCATCCATTGCAATCCAATCCATTGCATTTATAGTCATGGATTTCTTTGTTAAAGCCACTTTAAAGGCCACACAGTGTGCACAAATTCACAACACTATAGGAAGCGACCTAGTGGCAAGCCATTGTAAGTGCAATTAAAAACCATGACAACCAAGATGGCTGACAATAGATCAGATGCAGAGAACTTCAGGAATAATACCTTAGTGGCTAAATACAATTTGAACATGAAATAACATCTAATGAATATCAGAATTCTTCTAAACTTCTATTAGTATTTTTTTTAATATTGTTAAATTTTTGTGAGCAGTTAATACAATGAATTATGCATCCACTAAGTTGGGAACGACGCACGATCAGTGCATTTTCACAACTACAAATCATGCTGTATTACAACCTTCTCTACGAACTCTCTCTGTAAAACAGATGGTTTCTGTTACTATTTTTTGCAGTATGTTCACTAAAAAAAGCAATATTTTGCACAACTTTTGCATGTGTAGAATCTTAATCATCATTTTAGTAGAGCTTGAGAGCAGCAAGACGGACCAGGTCTGCAGGTTAGTGGGGTACAACTCAAGTGAGAACTCTGACAATAACAGTGATGATGAATGGCAGTCCAGACAAAGATGAAGCAGCAAGTCCTGACCCATCTTTTTGCAGCTATTTAGCTGAGGATGATGAGAATGTGCCACCTGGCATCCCGTTCTAATCAGTCCGCACCAGTTCGGGATCTTGTACTTGCATCGTTTGAGTAAGAAAAAAGATGATCAGCATCCCATGGCCAGTTGTACAATCTCATTTGATGGAAGATAACATGGATGAGCCTTGGTTGTTTTTCCATAGATCAGAGCACAACATGTTAAAATATATTTGTTTAAAAATTTCCAATAATTCAATATTGTATTCATTAGTCTATTAATATATATTACTTAAAATTGAAAAAGCAAATGCATGAGCGGATACATTAATAAAAGAAAAGTAAAAATCATGGGGCGATCATTCATGCATGAAACGCTAAAAATAATCCCCCCCAAAAAATACACTTCTTCCCCCTGTTTGAGTAACATTTGCTAAAAACTACAGTGGCCAGCTGTTTTAGGAAATTACTGAGCCTAATCTAGCCTTAGCTATATATTTGTAACTCTTCTTAAAAATGTATATCTCCAATAGGAACTGGGCTTGGGTTCAAGAGCCACATACAGGGTAGGAAAGTTGAAAGATGAACACATTTGGTCTTATTATGGGATTTGTTGACAAAATAGAGCATAACACCAGTCTTATCCTCTAAGACAGTAACACATCTGAGGCAGAGGAACTCTCCTGCACCAAAAATAAAGCCTGTGTTATTTAGGTTTGATAATTTCTTCTCCTGTGTCCAAAGAGCACAACCTTTGTCTTAATCGGTTTTTCTCTGCACCCTGCCAGCTAGTGTCTCCATCTCCCCTCTCACCTCCTACTCTCACAATAAAAACTGCATGGACATTATTTTTGTTTCTCTGCCAGCTATCGTCCCTTTATTTGTCTGTAATGTGTTTTTACATTTTAGACAGATGTCATTATGCTTCAGAGGTCCAAAAGACGGTTCTTTCATACCCTTTCAGCAGGGAGCTTCCAGAAAAGAACACAACATCCTGTCCTGTGGAGTCGGAAACAGCCTGTGCCACAGGTAAGTGAGGACACGAAGTACATTGTTACTAAACCACAGCTCTGGACTATTACCTGGCCACTTACGAGTGAGATGAAAATCACCCATCTAACCCATCAGATAATACAGAGACAGACAGATGTGTAAAATAAAGAGTTTAAGAGAAACAGCGAGGGAAAGATCGTCCACAACAGACGACAGAGCCAGCTGAGCACCGCTTGAGTTGTCCTGCAGTAATAAGTACACATGCACAACAAGCACAGTTTCTCGCCTCACCCTCACACCAAAGATGAATACGCTTCCCGTAGAGACTTTATCTGCCTGAGCAGTGAGCCATTTATCTAACCCCCTATTCTGTTCAATGCCACTATATTACCAGTGTGAATGCTCTCTCCCTCCTTTTTTGCCAAGCGAAACAATGAACTTCCCTCTGTGGCCACCTGCGCTGCTGATAGTACGGTGTTTCAGATGAACGGAGTTAGATATCAACTATTGACGAGGGGATGAGACAGTGTTATCGTTCTCCCTGCGTTCAGATTTTGTCATTATCTGAAGAAGATGAGCAAGGCTGGCTGCAATCAATCTCATTCAATTATTCCTTCAACCAGGCTAATTATGAGCATCACCAGACTTTACACACTCTGCAGGAGAGTCCATCAGCTTGCTGGAGTGAGCTGCACCTCCCAGGCACCAAGGCAAAAGGAGGCGAGCGTGAACAGAAGCGGTTTTAATCACCAGCCGCAGAGCCCTCCGGTGCTGGGCCGTGCACATCCCATGCCAGATTGTGTGATGTTTTCAGTCAGGATGCTTTCTATTGCTCCTCTGTAAAAGCTGACAAGAACACGGCACAGGAATTTAGCCGTTTTAAGATTACTTAAGAAATACAGCCATTCATGAGCTTTGCAGAGTTCTCTCCATGTCGAGGGATGCAGTCGTGGGTGTGCAGCGTGAACAGGAGGGGGCTGAGCACACAGCCCTGGGGGGCTCCGGTGTTGAGCACTAGAGATGAGGAGGTGTGACCGCTAGTCCGAACTGTCTGGGGTCTGTTAGTGAGTGTGATACACAGTTTGCTAATCAGTTTCATGGGGGAGATTGTGTTGAATGTTGAGCTGAAATACACAAACAGCATTCTGATGTAGGTGTTGTAAATTTCAAGCCGTGCACACTGAGTGGAGGGCAGTGGAAATAGCCTCGTCTGTGGATCTGTTGGTTCTGAATGCAAACTGGTGAGGTGTAACAGCTAAATAATACAATTTAGCTGACTGGCGTGGATGTAGCTAATAGTGGTGTGATTGAGTGGTTGGGTGGTGATGGCGCAATGGATAAGACGCCTGCCTTTGGTGTGAGAGACCCACTGTGACCCATCCACCACTGTGTTCCTGAGAAAGACACTTAACCCCTCGTTGCTCCAGAGGCGTGTGACTTCTGACACGTATAGCAATTGTAAGTTGCTTTTTGGATAAAAGCGTCAGCTAAATGAATAAATGTAATGTAATAGGCTTGCTAATGTTTGCTCAAAAATGCCAGTAAGTGGAAAATATTTAGGGAGTGCAGACTGAATGCTAATAGCATCAGAGTCCCTGGCAGTGAGAAATGCAAACCAAAATTTGATTTTGAATGAATTATTTCCAAAATGACAAAATGAACAGACGAGATTACCAAA